ATCAAGAAGGTATCAACCTAATAGTTGTGTGGTGATTAAAAGATGAGATTGAATAGTGATTGTTTTTCTTAATTGTCGATCCTTTATTATTAGATTAGGTAATAATAATAATTGGTTATCTTAATTGTATATCCTTCATTAGATTAAGTTATTTATGTTGTGCTCAAACCCATTAAGAATTATGAGCTCGGCAGTTAAAGAGAATGAAGGAAAAAACGTGTAGAGTCGAGCAAATATATACTACCTCCGTTTCACATTTTTTGCAACTTTGAAGGGTGCATGGACTCCTAGACAAAATTTGTTTGTGAGTGTAAGATAGAGAGAGAAAAATAAGAATGCACGTGATGAGGAGAGAGAAAGAAAGAAATGACAACCTAAAAAGAAAAGAAAACATTAGTTGCAAATAATGTGTAGCATCCATTTTTGGCAAAAGTTGAAAAAAAAATAAAACAGAGGTAGTATATGTTTACTTTACCTGGCCCCACTATTTCTTCTTATTGATCAAGGATCATCTCTCTATTTATGTAAGTTGATCGAAGAAGACTCTTTTATGCCCTTATATCAATGACAAAACTTAAAACATTGCTCTTGAGTAGCCGTGCAGAGCTGTTACTACTCATTGATCCATCACCCGGCTCTTGTACAAAAAAAAGATTAAGTGTACGTATATCAGTGTGATAGATTGAAAATAAAGGGATTTTTTGTTTATGTTGTTAACAATTTGCTACTCAACTTGAATTGTCAATTTGTTTATAATTCATTGATTAGATACTTTCCAAGAAATCACTTTCAAGCAATGTTATTAATTCATGGATCATGCACTATTTTTCAAACATTGGCCTCTATTTTTCTCGATATATATATAAAAACTGACACTTCTTTTTTAGGTAGCTATTTTACAATAACAATGCAATAAATATTTTACATTTATTTTATATTTATAAGAGACGTATGCGTTTCTTATCATTTTAACCAAGTGTAGGCAATAGAAAATACAACATGGCACATATCATCAGTGTATTTGACGTATTAAGAGGAAATTATTGTATTGAAGGTTGATTATCTTGTTAAGATAATAGAATTTACTTGTTGAACAATCAATCTAGAAAGAGTTTTATTTAATTAAAATTCATACCCTTGCTAGATTAGGATTATTAATCAAAGGAGAAATTACATTAATGCAAATGGAAATATATTTGCCTTTGATCTTGACAATTCATCTCAAAACATAAAAGATTATACAACATATACTGTCACACCTATCCATCGAAAAATAAATTAAAAGTTTATAACATATTATTGTAGTCACAAATGTTGAGTTGAGTTTTAGTAGCGCAAATCCGAGGCGAAGTCTTTTGTTTTTCTTGGATTATAAATTTATAATGAATCTCATAATACTACCTCCGGTCTAAATTAGTCGCAATTTTGGAATATTTTATATCTCATAAATAATACCTTAAAGTTACGAGTAATTTGGACGGAAGGTAGTATAATTTGTACAAGAAAAACCAAAATAAATTCGAACCGTTCGTTAAGTAGGGACAAAACTAAAAATCATACTGACAAAAAAAAAATCAATCATCGCTAAAAGGAGGATCGTATTTGACATTGTCTGGCGCAATTAGATTCGCTTATTTAAGCTTCAACAGGTACGACTACTATTTTTTGCAAAACTCATTTTGGATATCAATCTCATCCAATCATGTGTGCCCCTCTTCGTCGTTTGTTAACTTTATCATGTACTCGTAATATTGTAAGTTTGTAACTCTTACAAAGGTAACTAAAAATCATGTAACTCTTATAAAAGTAAAGTTTGAGAAATTACAAATTTGATTACCAAAACCTATTATCATAAAAAATTGTAGATGAGTGCGAGGTTTAATAACAAATCAACAAGTATGGAGTAAAAAGATATCCAAAATGAGATTTGATAACAAGTTATTAACACATAAATTTATACCTTATTATAAATTGTAAAACTTATTAATTGAACACTTACTAGCTTATTAGCTTGCAAAAAAATATCGACTTGCAAATTGAGATTTTTTTGACACGTATGCGAGACATTTGCGAATTTTGAGGTCAATTTGGAACCTTACGAACTAAAATGACCCCAAAAATCTTTACCGAACAATTTCCAACACAGAATTAGAGACAGTAGGTGTTAGAAAGGGGTATTATAGTCTTTTAAAATTAGTTAGCTATAATCACGATTGGGAAAAAACTAAAGCACAGGCGTACCAGTGGGAAGACAAAAATTTCTAACAGTTAAAAAGTCAATACTAGAAATGTATCAATGATAATTTCCCTAAATATTTTTTTACAACAACAAATTTTGTTATACATATATTTCATATATCATTTGCCATTTGCCATTAGACTTGCACTTAACTATCAAACATTATTTGCACCAAAAAAAAAACTATCAAACATTAAAAATTAAATAGGAATAATGTATTTCCTCTATTCCTATATTTTTGCCCCATTTGACTTTATACGGTCTCCAAGACACGTGTTAAAATGTTTATATCTCTATTTTCATATGCGTAAAAAGTACATATAAAAAAAAGTTAATATTAATTAAATTTACAATGAGGCGAACAAAACAAAATCCTATTTGATTATATATCCTTTTGTAGATCAATGATTTTTTATTTTTTTTAAAGAAATCAATGAAAATTTATGGTCAAAGACTCAAAGTTTATAAAATTTAACCCATAAATTTGATAGTGGGGCAAAAAAATAGGGACAAAGGGAGTAATTGATTTGTGAGTTGTGACCTTTGGGTGTAAGTGGATTGTGGACTCGATGGGGTACGATAGGAGGAACGAGTACAAGTATTTTTGGGCCGACAGTTTGATGCAAATTTTTTTTTTCAGAACTGGGCTGGATCCGGCCTTTTTAGCAAAAACATCTAAATCTTGGGCCTCGCATTTTGTTCTTTCGTTTACAATAAGTTGGGCCGCCCAACCTGTAAGGCATCGAATAAGCAGAAGCAAGTTAACGCACTCCTGCTGATCTAAAACGATTTACGATCATGAAATACAAGACTGCTATTATTTGCTACTCGTATACATAATCTTTTTGACGTGCTTAATCAAACGAAAGACTAGCTGAAAATATTGAGGGGGTGTTTGGTATCAACTTAGTATTGGTAACGGAATGGAAACAAATTAGGAGGGAAAAGGGTAATATATAGTGTTACCCTTACTAGTTGTTTGATATTACTAAGGAAACGTAAACGATTACAACCAATCTATTTCCTTTTCTTTGGCATAAAAAAAGGGAAAACAAATTTATTTATTTTTTTAAAAAAAAAGGAAAAACAAAATTAATATTTAGTAGGCGACATTTATCGCAATTCACATTCACAGGCTGCAAAATTGCTTCAAGACTTCAACTTACTCTTTTTTTTTTTTTTTTTTTTTTTTTTTACTCCAATTTAATTACTCTAATTTAATAATTCAAATCATCAAAAATCAGATGACTAGATCACTTTTTCTTTTATTGATCATTAAATCTCAAATACACTAGATTGAAATCTTAGCAGACCATCAAAAATCAATATTATCAACCCCAAATCAGATTATCAGATTATTGCAAAGGTAGATCAATCTTCATCATTGATCATTATGAAAGCTCATTCAATTTTTATTTTTTTTTGGTGGGTTAGATGTGAGAATGATGAGTTGTTGAGTGATTTACTTGACCCAAATTTGACAAGTCTTGAATAATGAAGCAAGATCTTGAAAATGACATGCTGGGAAATCGAATTCGGAAGAGAGAGATTGGGTGAGTAAGAGCTTTGGAAGAGAGAGTCAATGAGAGAAGTTAACATTATTGAATGCCGGAAACGGAATTTGTTTCCTTGGGTCAACGAGTGGAATCAAACTGGGGGGATTTGTTACACCTAGGTAACGGTTTATGTCACTTTCTAGCCTTACCAAACAAGTAGTAATGGAGTGAATTATTTGAATCAGTTACCATGGCTTAAAAGTTCCATACCAAACACCCCCTGAAAGACGATAAACTATGAGTTGTTATATTAGGATCATTAAAGTGGTCAGAATGATTTTTTCATTGATTTGATTATTTTACTTTTCACTCTCTCCAAGAACCCTTATTATCATTTGATCTTATAACCTCGATGTTATAAAATAAATTAAATTACAATATACGATTTTATGAATTACAAGTATATGATAAGTAAGAATTAATGTGCTATACACTAATCATCTTTTCTGGATCATTGATATCAAATCAATCGGATGAACAACTTTGGCTTGTTCCACTTTTGGAAGACTTAAACCAATTAAACAAATTTTTACGTATTAAGATTATTTAAGACATACATATACTCAAAACTATGTTATATGCATAAAAAAAAATAATCCTCCGATCTCATTTTACTTATATAAATTTTCTACTTTAGACAAACCCAAACTAAGTGACTTTTTTTACAAGTCCAATTTTTTTTTTCTTTTCATGAGTCTTATTAACCTTTTTCACACCAAATAAAAGTAAAATCAGTTGATTTTTTTCTTTATCATTTCCTAAAAGGTATATTGATGTTAAACCAATGCAAATTACAACAGTTAGAGTGATGAAGGGCCTGTTCTGATTTACTGAATTGAGCTGCACTGAACTGAACTAATTGGAATTGAAATGAATTGTTTATGAGAGAAGAAAACTATGAAATGAACTAAACTGAACTGAAATTAACAGGCCCGAAGTAAGTTTACTTTATTCTTATCCCACCAAATATTGAATTACTCTTTTTTATGGACTACATCGAGTTAAAGGGACACAACATTAAATCATGCTTTATTAACTTCTCTTTTCGAAGACTAATAGGTAAAACCGTAAAATGAAACATAAGAGTTAATAAACGTTGCCGGTTCATTTTATACGAAATAACATCAAATTTTCTTATATGTTTTGAATTTTCAATACTTGCACAAAATAATTCCATAAAAATTTCAACATGTGAGGAATTTATTGCTTTTACATCTAGAAACAGTTTGAAAACGGACATTTTCCTACCACAAAAAACCAAAACATAAACATTAACACACCTATAATGAAAATAAACCGAAGCATACAAATGAAAACCGACATTTGCGCCGAAGCGTGTATAATCAAATTGCAACTATTCCTCTCATTCTACTTTTCCGTTTCTTCACCCGCCACCGCCCACCTTTTTTCTTATAAACGGTTGAAAATCAAACCTAAAAAAAATCACAATTTATTTTCCCTTTTTCTTCATCCCCCAATATATAAACCAACATAACTGTAGAAAAAAAATTAAAAATAAAAAATAAAAATACTCTATTTCTTTTTATCTTTCTCTCTCCTCCATCCTTACATTCCCAGATATCAGTAGCAGCAGCAGATCCGCTTATACTTTCTCTCCCCTCGGCCTTCAATTGTCCTCGGAGAAGATTCTGGAATCTTTTCATACTCTATAAAAATGCATTCCAAACTTATAATTGTTGGCGAACTTCCGAATTTTCTCTCTCCTCTTCGTCAGCTTCCTTGTTTACAGCTATGTCGCAGAATTCCTTGTGCTTCTAGAACTTTCCAGTTTTCGAATGATGGCAGTTTACGGTTTCGCCGTTGTTTCTCCGCCGCCGCTTCCGCCGCCTCTCATAGTAGTACCTTGACCAGTAATTCTACTCCGGTTTGTGTTTTCTCTCATTTTTTTGTTGAATTGTTTTTGATTTCATTCATTTTAGTTGCTTGATTTGAATTTGTTTTTAAGTGAACCCTGATTAAGCGGAATTTTGATTTTGTAAGATGATTTTAGGTATAGAATTTTCCGGAATTGTGATGCAATTTATTATTAATAGCGTTTTAGGCGGTTGAGGATAAAATGGTTTTGCTTAGAGTTGTAAATTAGGGAAGGATTTTCCTGGAACTATCTGAGATTAGGTTGTGCAAAGTTGATTTAAGTCGAATTCGAACTAAAACTTAAAGTTGAACTTATCCTGTGATTGAATGAACTTAGGCTGAGATGAATTATTCTTTAGCAGATAGACATTGCAGCTTGACGAAATTTTCGCGCTTTTGACGTATTGTGTTACTTGTGTATGTCTCTTTCAAATTGCGGTGATATACAAATAGATCAATGAAATTCCAGATTATATAACTTTTCGGTGCCAGCCACACTACACTGTGTGGCCGGAATTATTTATTAAGGGGTTATTGAGTCGGTCAGGCTACTTATTCAGGAGTTACGGGGTTACTGAGTCGTTCTGGAGTTACTTATTAAGGGGTTATGTATTCAGGATTTACTTATTAAGGGGTTATGTATTCAGGATTTACTTATTAAGGGGTTACTCGGTCAGTTAGGGGTTACTTGTTCAGTTATTCAGGTGTTACTTATATAAGTAAACCCTAAATGAGTAACCTCTATAAGTGACCCCCGTTTAGGCCACATATTAAAAATTATGATAACTTTTAGGTAATTCGGGTGAACTGTGCTGGTGTGATAGGGGTGCCTTTATGTGTGAAGAAAGGAAGTAGGAAAATTTAAGAGTTGAGAAGTGAGCGATAGAGAAAATGTGGGGGAGAAAAAAGTGGAGAGGTTAAAAAAAATGGTCAATTCTCTCTACTAGTATCACCAGGAAGTTGGACAAAATACTTTTATGTCATTGCAAGATGTTTGTGACACAAGCAAAACATAAGGGTTAAATTATAAGCAAATGATAGCATGTCCTTTGAAGGATCAAGGCTCAAGGGGAGCGTGTGTTAGGGGTTGGCACAACTTTAAAGTTTGCTTGGAGAATTAATGTGAAGCTCTTTTAGGCTTTTGATGAAATTATACAGTGATTCGTACACCAACTTAGTCATACAAGTTCAAGGAGGTTCTTCTAACCTTACCCCTATAAATGCGTAGAAGTTGATATTATTGGATCCTTTACTTGACTTGCAATTGATTGACATACCAAATATTAAACTCAACTCAATCTCGTAAAGAAATCGCCAAATGAGTTCGTCTATGTTTAAACACATTGACACCTCTAATTTATTTGGGTGATTTTGGGTGAAAGAGAGACGGGCAGGGTAAGGTAGCTAGGAGAGTTGTCCTATTTTGGAGATTTGCAAGTGTGACAGAAAATGTTATTGTACCTGGCTACGAATAGGAGAGGGTTACACTTGATCAATGAGAAAAACCCTTACCTTTTGAATTGTACTGCTGTGTAAGTTATTGTTGTCAAGATTTGGAGCTGGGGCTTTGAGGAATGTGTGGTTGAATTGTTGTCCCCAGGGTTTTAAGGCCGTGAATTCTAGTGATGCTCGGAATTATGAATCTGTTATGACAACTTGGGAATGCTAAGTGAAAGAACTTATTTACTAACTTTTGGATTTGCTAAAATGTGGTTTGGATGACAGTTAGATATTGATGCCAATTTGAAGAGAATTTTGCCTTTGTTGAAGCTGCAATATAGATGGTCATGATTACTTCCCTACTATCTTTTGTTCGATAACACCCTCTTTTCTTGTAATAATATCTTTAATGGTTTAGAAAGATGGTAACTTTGCATGTGTTAACTAGCTTGGGGTACTATCACTACTATGTGCATAATTATACCTAATATTGTTTCTCTTGCTAGTCACGGGATCCACTTAAGGTGTTGCTCTGTTAGTAGAATCACATTTTAATTGAGAATTAGGGTTTATTGAATTCAAAGAAGAAGGAAAGAAGATTAAACTCTTGTAGTCAGCACTCAGCAACTCAGCATTCCTCATCAAAACTCGATGTTTGCAAATGAGGCTGAGTTTTTTCAAGAATTCGAATGGGAATAGATAATTCTAGGATCTTTTGTTGACTTTGTCAAATCTTTGTTTGCTATATACACCAAGATCAATCCCCCCCCCCCATATATATTGGATGCGGCTCTAATTGATCACATGTTTATACCAAATTTTCATGTTTAGTTAGTTTACCCCAGTATTTCTATGATGCTCGTTTGCTTTTGATAAAATGCATTCTCTGCTAACAACGCTTCTTATTCTCATATAATATATGCTTTTTTTTGCTTGTTTCTGTTGACCAATAATCATTGCAAAATTTGCTCTGTCATCATTATTAGCTCATGGAAACTCAGGTTTTTTTTTTACCTTGCCAACCTAGATGTGTGGGTGGCCTTGTCTATATATATTATGTAAATGTTTAACAAAATATTTTTCTACTGATATACTTAAAAAGATAATCTGATTATATTTTGCAGTCTAGAAATGGAGTATATACTGATAAAATGCATTCTCTGCTAACAACGCTTCTTATTCTCATATAATATATGCTTTTTTTTTTTGCTTGTTTCTGTTGACCAATAATCATTGCAAAATTTGCTGTCATCATTATTAGCTCATGAAAATTCAGTTTTTTTTTTTTTTTTTACCTTGCCAACCTAGATGTGTGGGTGGCCTTGTCTACATATAGTATGCAAGTGTTTAACAAAATATTTTTCTACTGATATACTTAAAAAGAGAATCTGATTATATTTTGCAGTCTAGAAATGGAGTATATACTGTTGGTGATTTTATGACTAAGAAGGAGGATTTAGTTGTCGTTAAACCTTCAACAACAGTAGATGAAGGTAGGTTTGGAGTAAATGGTTTTTATATATGCTTATAGTCTTTTAATGCTGTTCTGTAACATGTTTTCTTCTGTGCGCTGCAGCTTTGGAAACTCTCGTGGAGTACAGAATCACCGGGTTTCCTGTGATTAATGATGACTGGGAGCTGGTAGAAATCTTATTTCTAAATCTTTTATAAATAATATTCTGAACCTATTGCCTTTGTGCTTATCTTCTTTTATAATATTTTTGTGTTTCGTGGTTGTGATTATGTTAGCGACTTAGCTGACTTCGCAACAGGGCAGGGATATACCGATAATATTATTCATCTAATATAGGCCCTATTCTTTTCTTCTTCTTCTTCTTTCTTTTCTTTTTATTACTTTTTTTTTTTTGAACTTAAATTATTTATACTGAATTAAAAGTATTATTACCAGTTAAAGTTGAGTTTTACTAAATAAAATAAGTATTTACTAATTAAAATACGAGTATATTTTTATTGATTTCCTTTGTTTTTCCAGTTCTTTGGAGTTATTGATTTTTTATTGAACATAAATTATTTTCACCAATAAAACCAACTTTACTTTTAGAATTTAATTTTAATGATAAATCCTGTTATGAATAATATTTTTATAAGGTGAGGAGAACTAGGCCTTTTTCTTTTTCCCTCTTGAAGTGACTAGAGCACTAGACCGTAGGAAAAGGTGCCTTTGAGTAGGTTTTTTTTTTTTTTTTTTTTTTTTTTTGGTGTGCTGTTCTTGTAACTTGACATTTTAGACACATGCAATACAATGACACGGAACTCTGTCGTTGAGTGCCACTTTGTGGTATTTAGTGTCGGTGAGCGTCACTTTGTGGCATTCACTGCCGGTCTTAAGCTCGGATTAAGGATGAGAGTTGCGGTAGGTATGTGGCGGCCTGCGTAAAACTTAGTCACATTTTATAGACATGAATCGAAATCGTTTTGGGATTAAGGTTTTGTTGTTCTTGTCGAAATACAATGACATGAGATACGAAGAAAGTGTTAAAGATACGAAGAAAGTGTTAAAAAAATTTAGGCTCTCATGTCCTTTAATGTCCTTAACCTAGTTTTAGGGCCTGTTCCGTTCAGCTTAATTTCATTTGAGTTCAGTTCAGCTCCAATCAGTTCCTAATTTCCTTCTCTCATAAACAATTCATTTAAGCTCTATTCAGTTCAGTTTGGCTCCAACCAGTTCAGTTGTTTTCAGTGAATCGGAACAGGCCCTTACTTATTATAAATGTTAATAAGTGCTACCCAAGTTCAATTACTAAGATTAATTTTAATAGTGAAAATCAGGTGAATGGAATGTATCCTAATTGTAATTTAGGTTGGACTTGTATTTTCAGCAATGATGTGTATGGTAATTATTACTACGGTTGCAAGAGAGAAGTCATGCCTGAGATGGAGTAGCATTTAACCATTTTTTCCCTGTTAATATGCCCTTGTTTTCTGTACTTGCATCCTTGTTGTCCCTTTTTGTTTCAAGCTTTGTCTTTTATGTTTGTTTTTCTCTCCTTCCATTTTTATTGATCTATCAACTTAATTCTCTTTGCCTCTCGTTTTAAGTTTCAATGTGTGTATTTGGAACTTGTTTAATTGCTGCTAATCAATTTTACAAATAGGTTTGCTTATCCACATGGAATGTGGAACGTCTAGTTTATTGATTAATTGTCATTTTTGGACTGTTAAGTCATACCATGATTTTACCATTTCATCTGCCTATATGATGGGTAGTGTTAATCATGATTCAGTATCTTTTGGATTGATGGTGATTGATAATTCAAACAGATTGCAATTTAGAATTCACACACTATTCTGGTAGCTCTTCTTGCTTTATCTTCTCATACTTGTAACTGGTACCATATATCTTTGCTATGAAGATGTTCCACATATAGTGCTACTCCCTCTTTTCCTCAAAATTTGATATAGCTGTAAGCACAGCTATCTAGCATTTTTAAATGTGGAAAATATCAAGAAGTGGTTAAAAATGTCAACTGAATGGTTTGAGGGAAAAATTTCTTATTAGATTTGCTCTTGAATCCTATCTTCTCTTGTCTGCAGGTTGGTGTTGTTTCAGATTATGATCTGCTGGCTTTGGATTCGATATCAGGTGAGATATTATATGAGGGAACATAAATATATAGTTATTAGATATTCATTGGAAAGGTTGTTCTTTGTCATTATCCTGTTAGAGGAGTTGAGTCATTATTTCTTGTTGGTCTTCACCAAAAAATATAATTTTAATGCTGGTACCTTGTTTAGGTACTGGAGTGGCAGAAGCAAGCATGTTTCCTGAGGTTGATAGTACTTGGAAAGTATGTGTAGATGCTCTTTGAAGCTGTATTCATTAGCTTTTATGTTAATTTTTATCCCTATACTCACATGGTGATCTTCATTTACAATGTAGGTATTTAATGAGCTCCAGAGTTTACTCAGTAAAACAAATGGTAAATTGGTGTCTGATGTGATGACACAAGTCCCTGTTGCTGTTCGTGAGACCACAAATCTTGAGGATGCGGCTAGGTTCTGTCTTAATTTTATGACTCCGTCTATGCTATGATGAATTGATGATTCAGTAAACATAGCTTAGTTCCAAACGTAACATGAATGTCAGTTGGCCAATATATTGAATCATTGTGATTTATCCAAATGACAGATTACTGCTGGAGACAAGATATCGACGACTTCCTGTTGTAGATGCTGATGGAAAACTGGTAAGAATATAAGATTATAACCCTCTATGAAGCAGTTATAACCTTTATTTTCAGTTTAAATAACGTAATTGAATGCTCAGAGTTTGAGAAATCCACATTTGCATTTTGTGTGTGTTTCCGTTTTGACAATAAACTTGACAGTGCTTCCCTGGCAAAATCTCACTGAGGCTTGACTTTTCCAACTTTTTTTTTTGTCAACCGTCTCAATGATATTATGCTTTTTCTGTTTTAATTAACATTTAGGACAGGTGGACAAGCCAACTGTCCCATGGATGTTTAAAATGTTTTGCTGGTTCTACAGAATTATAAATTCAACTGTGTATTGACTTTATTATGAAAATCGGTATTCAACTTGCTGAGTTTTTAGACCTTGTTTTGGAATCATTTGTTGGCCTTATTATTGCTGAATAACTCCTATTTAACTTAAAGTCATATACCAAACATTAGATTGGATGTTTGATCACAGGAAAAAGTACAAATCTAATTAAAAAAATCGTGAAAAGGCCAATTATTGAACAAGAGTCTTAATACTTTACTATGTTTTCATATTTGAGGTTCATTCTTGACTATTCCTTGTGCTTTTAGGTGGGAATCATCACAAGAGGAAATGTTGTAAGAGCGGCTCTGCAAATTAAACGTGAAAGCGAGAAGAAAGGTCAATGATTAGGAGATACAAATGTAATATGATTGCCAGATTATCCTGATTGGTTGGTGCTGTAGTATTTACACGAGGTGGGCATGTCTCTGCCTTATGTAGTACCATTTTTTGTTTTTGCATATTTTTGTTTTATATAATTTTTTTGTCAGTTAGTTATAAAATATAAATATGTAGTTACAATTCAATATATTGACTCAAATTGGAGATTTTGTACGATCCTGATTTATTAATTTACCTCTATTTGTATATCCTATTGATTTAATGTTCTGTATCATTTATAGATATACTGTTTCCACTAGCTGCATTTTCTTAAACTTGGAGTTTCTGTTGGTTTCCCTGATAAATTCAATATTTCAGGAGTTTTATGTATGCTAGTCCCCCCTCTTTTTTTCTTCCTAGCTGAATGTAAAGTCTACTCAGGCTTTTCTGGACGACTGGACCTCAGTAAGACATGCTTAGTGTGTGCATCGACCGTGCTTTTGTTCGAGTCCATTTTTCTTTGAGCTTCAGAAGTAACTGAAAAATGCGCTTCTGATGTCATATACTTGATACACCTATAAGTTTCCCTATCCTCTCTGATACACATAGTAGTAATTTTTGTGGACTATTTTTTTGTTCTAATTATACAGTAGCTCTGTTCACATTCTTCACAATATTTGTTCTACTTGGCATTTCAAGAAGAGTAAGATCACTTCTAGTAGGTCTAGAGATGAAGTGTGTAGGGAGAAAAATAGATTATCAGCTTGGAAGCAATCACTAAATATGGAGGAACGCCTGTTACTCCGTTCTATACAATAAAAATCATATAACAGTGCATTGACATTAGAACAATTTTCGGAAAGTTGAAAACTATGAAGTTGATTTAATATAGTTTTTCCTTGGTAACACGAGAGTTCCTGCGGGAAGATAAAATCTTCATCTACCTGGCCAATAGATTACAACTCGAAATCGAAATTAAAAACTTAAAACCATTAAAATCAAAGCACTGAGGGTAGATTCAAGCATTTTCTTGTTAGATGTTCACTTCTTGTATACGAAATCGAAGATCTAAAAGAACCTATCAGAGGGGCATTTTTGCATTATTTGTGATTGTGATACTTACTATTTAAAAGTATGACAATCATAAAGTAGAAGTTACTCAGAGTACGATTCTTAAGGCATGGTTGCTTTCAATGCCAAGATTTTTTTTATGTGGTGTAGGGTAATACAGTATTAAGGTGACCCAAGCTTGGTTCACGAGTCACACTCTTTCTCACTAATTTAAAAGAATGTCCTATAAACACAGATTGGACCACTTCATCATGTTTACATTTTCACCTTTTCTTCAACTTATGGCCTGTATCAACACCCCAAAATTTTTCTTGCTAAATTTAACCCCAAAATAAGATAAAAAAGAGTCTAACCATTTTTCCCACAAAGATCACTAGAACAACATAAAAGTATTTTCTTTCTTTCATTCAATTCAAAGTGTGTCATTCTTTTGGTAGTTGAAGCATTAAAATTCTAACACTGATTTTGTGAAAAAAAGGATTAGACATTAGACATATGTATGTAGGTGATATCACGGTAGGCCCTTATAAATACAAAATAAACATTATATTTGTAATAATCTGTATACTGTATTACTATATTAATTTAGAGATATTGACAAATTTATGCATCAGTTGATGTAATTAATGTTTTATTTTATTATTTTTACTTTAGTTGCTTATATAATAACTTTTAGGGTTTTATGTATCATTTTCCTTTTCGATAAACTGACCACCGAATATCGTAGAATAGGACATGGATAGAGTTTCCACTTCCAGAATTACCCGACCAGAAGAGCGCCCACAAAGCTTGTCATTGGACCCTTGAGAAAAACGAGGGGGCATGGAATTGATATAAATACGAAACACTATCTTATCACTTCACCCTGACGGTTGGCTTTCTTATAAGTGTATGTGTACTACTTCTCATCACCCACATCATTATTCAAACTGACTCACTAATCTCTCTGCATAGTCCAAAAATCTACTATACCTCAAGATAAGATACACTTGTGCAGCGGGAATATAAAAGATTCCAATCATTTCATATTAATCATAATATATGGAGTATTCGTATTAGATTTGACACATACCTGTATTTTTTTAGGAAAAGTAAATTATAAGGAACAAATAACGAATTTTCAAGTATAATGTGTATTTTTTTTTACTTTGTAGTTAGTAAGGGTGTTAGTGAAATAGTGAAAATTATAATATACGGAGTAGTAAGAATTGAGGTAAATAAGACGGGGAAAAATACTCTGTAATAGGCTGCAATATAAAATGTTGTAATTTACTGTTAATGGATATATAAAATAAAAAAAAATAAAAAAAATAAAAACAAATGTTGTAATCAATTTAATATATTCATAGCATTAACTTTTTATCTAATTAAGCTTATTTTAGTTATGCATTGGACTTAACTAATCAATCTTGTAAAAGAATTTTACTCCATTAGGGTCTGCTCTCATAAACTAAATTCAGCTGAACTGAACTGAACTAAAATGAATATTTTATAAGAGAAGGAAATTAGAAGTTGAACTGAGCTGAGCTGAGCTGAATTTCAAGTTATGAGAACATGCGCTTAGTTTTAGTGAATCCATTTATATTTCATAACATAAACTGTTCAAAGTGTATCTTATCAACTGATGAAGGCTAGCAAAATAGTAAAAGAAGATTCGAAAATGCAACTTTTTAGTGGAAGGGTAATAATTAATGAGAGGACCTCGTCAATATATATAATAAGGAAATAAAATATTTTATTTAAAAAAATAAATAATTTTTTTTTAAAAAGAGAGAGAGAGAGAGAGAGAGAGAGAGAGAGAGAAATGCATTAGTTTAATTATAAAGATGGGTATGATCCAATTGGCAATTGGGATTTGGGAATGAGTTGAAGAGAGTCAAGACATTGTACTCTCCAGTCTCCATGCATGCCTTACAAAATCTTTTGTTTGACACATGATCACCTTTTAGATAACATTACATATATTTCTTTTTCATAACCTTTTCTTTTGAGTTAAAGGTCAGGCCATCTTATAAAACAATATTAATCTCAGAACTTATCTTTGAGGATTCAAATAAATACGAATAACTTTATTAAATTTAATATTGGAGTTAAAGAACATAATTCAATATGATGGGTTAGAGGAGAGGTGCAAGGGGCAAAGCGGTGAAGGAACAAAAAGGAGAGAAAAGTATCATTAAACTGTAGTTCGTTTTTTGGTGCAAACATTTAAATTATACTCCCAAGTCCTAAGTTATAACCATGATTGATTTTAGTTTAGATATTTAAAGAAGGCTGAAGTTACACTTCACCATATGCTCAAGGCTCATTTATTGACATGTAGGAAAGAAAAAACCTACTGTAGTACTTGTTTAATAGTTTCCATAATAAGTTGAAAAACTTCATATAGGTAGAAATAAAATACCACAAAAATTTACTCCTTGTATTGTATTTAAAAATATATATATCATGATACTTTTTGCTTTAAATGGTAATTAAGAAGGGCTTTAAAAAATATATGGTAATTAAGCAAAAGGTTTTCAATCCTCACAGATTTATTAATCTAGTATTTGTAGGTCAACACTTTTAAAATAAAGTTAATAAAACGCAAATTAAAGTATCATTTAGGACCTGTTCTCTCAGCTCAATTTCAGTTCAGTTCTTAATTTTCTTCTCTCATAAACAATTCATTGCAGCTCAATTCAGTTCAATTCAGCTCAATTCAGTAAATCAAACACAGGACCTTAGTATAATTCAAATCCCAAACCCTTTAAAATCTAACATAAAACTTTTACCAAGTAAAACCTCATATAATAAATAGTGAGTATCATAAATTCACAATACAGCTTTTGACGACAATCCAATACTATACTTCTGTAGAATATTTAATTGACATCAACTTAAATTGACAGTTCACAAATAATTTCCTTAGATACAATTTCTATCTTTCACTCTACTCTCTTAATTTGTGTATATTTGATTTTGTTTTCCTCACTTTAAGGGGGACCAAACTACTCCTACATGCCCAAAATAGAGTGTCTATGGCTTGTACATATATATACAGAGCATAACTACTAGCCTAATATGAGCTTGTGACACTTGAAATAATTTCAATGTGATTAGTTACCACTCACCTAACATTAACTTTTTGGTGAAGCAAAATACAAATACAACATATCATTTGTATGATATAGGTTTATATTTTAAAACGGTTTTAAACTATAACAAGAAACAAAGTAGGAGTTGATATTACAACACAAATTCATTGTTGTGCAAGACTTTTTGACTAATTTTGCACATACAGATGTATTTGGCACAACCCTCTTGACTAAAATTACATATTTATAGCCTCTGCCTATAATTCAACTACCCGCCAAATTATCAAAAAAATAATTCTTCAACTTACCTATTAACGCATTATTATAATTATTTATTGAGACAAATTCAATGCTCTGTAAATATATAATCAAAGTTTAGGATCTGTTCTGATTAACTGAATTGAGCTGAATTTAACTGAACTAAAAATAAGCTAAAAGAACATACCCTAAAAATGTAACTAGTATCTCATCAAGTTCGTGTTGCACACTTGCACTTGCGGAACTAAATTAAGAAAATATTGCTTTTAAAAAAAGAAAATAGGATAGCAACAAAAACCACCATGCGAGCATGAGTCCACAATTCCTGCAAAAGCATTAACAGGAGGAGAAACCCAAGAAAATTCCAGACTATAATATTAAACAAAAAAAATGGATAAAAAGGAAGCTACTAAACTATATTAAAATTAACCAAAAAAAAAAAAATGTATTTACAATATTTTCCTCTTACATCCCCCAAAATTTCCTTTTTCCTATCTTCAACTCTTCAAGGAAAAAAAAAAAAAAAAAAAAAAAAATCTACCTTAAATCTAAAAACCAAAAAAAAAAAAAAACCGGATAGTGAGAGGAAATAATGGATTTTTGAAAGTGGCCCACATAAAAAATTGCAATTATATGGAGTAGCGACTAGCAATTACTACTTTTCTTTTTTTTTTTTTTTCTGTTTCTATCTCCTCCGTCGCAGCCACCGACATCCAAACCTGAGCCGCAACCTTCGTCAGTTGTTGCTTTTCTCTCTCTTTCTATCGACAAACTATTTCTTCTAAAAAAAAAAAAACAATTTTTTATAATCGAAAAAAAAAAAAGAGAAAAAGAAAACTCTTCATTTCTTTCTCTCTCTTTCTCCCTTCCTCTTTCAAGTTTCAACCAACCAAACCAATCAATCAATCATCCCACTCTTCCGAATCCTCGGGTACCTTATTCAAATCGGGTTTCTCATCAACAACCCATCCACACCCAACAAACCCACCACTCTTTTCTCTCTCCTCAACCGTTATCTTACTCTCCGGACTACTACTACTGTGATTATCGTGTTTGTGTTCGTGCTCGATGTTAATATGACGGTTGATGCTATTATTCGAGTTAGACCGTTGAAAAGCGGTCTCGAGAGCATCAACCCTAGCACCAACCTCAATAGCCTTCTTTCGGATCGAAGCAGCCGATAAATCGCTAAGACGACACTCCCCCATCAACAACTCAGGAAAATTAAGCCGTGCGGATGGACCGCGAAGATAATACACGGCCGTGTCGTAAGCCCGTGCAGCTGCAACCGGTGTTGAATACGATCCTAACCATATTCTTGATCGTTTATTCGGCTCTCTTATCTCTGCTACCCACTTCCCCCACTTCCTCATCCTTATCCCTTTGTATGGCTTCTCTGCTCTCTCTCTCTTCTTCGTTGACCCCGCTTCCATGCCTGCTTCTTCTTTTTCTTCTACTACTACTACTACTTTAAACTACTCTTGAAGAAGAGAGAGAATTACAGAAAGAGAAAAAGAGGAGAGAGAAGAAAAGAAAAAAGAGAGGAATTTTGGGGTTTTGGGGATTGTGAGTGGGAAATAAAAATAGGGTTGTTATATATTTATATATTTATATATAAATAAAAAAAAAGTAATGAGTTATGAATTAAAAAGAAAAGGGAAAAAGATAATTAAGTGGGAAGAATAATAAGATATCACCGACATGGGTGGATGTAGGAGAGAGGGGGCCTTGAAAAATAAAAATGTTGGTTAAGAATAATAACAATTAATGGACGGCATGTCCACAAAGAGGAACAGCTAGATTTATAAAAGCTTTTTCATAAGTCATTTTCTCTCTCTTTAATTGTTTATATTGGAGGTTACCTCAACTTATCTATTTTGTTTGCAACTTGAGGGATGAGGCTGCGTTTGGTTTTATTATGGAGAAGAGAAGAGGTGAGATTAGATTATATGATTTGGGAGGAAATTTTTATTATTAGAAATATCTGATTTGTGGGTAATGACTGGTGTGGTGGGTGTCTTGTGTGGGGTTAAGGGATGGATAGTGAGAGGAGGGTGGGAAAATTATTACTCGAGTTTTTTCTTTATATATCATTATGATTATTATTTTTGATTATTAATAGGTGTATTCTGGTGTATGAAATATAAAGTCTATGAGGTTGTGATTAAATGTGTTGTTTTGTGTCATTTACTCACTTGATGTATAGTAAGTTCAACTTATTAAGAAACATAATTGAAATACTACAATGCCGTGATTGCTCTTTTGATTATTATAAATTTATGTTTGTTAAAAAAGTGCTTAACACTTATAAAACTTAGGGTATGTTCACATTTACTGAGCTGAACTGAACTGAACTGAATTGATTGGAGCTGAACTGAACTAAACTGATTGGAGCTGAACTCAACTGAACTGATTGGAGCTAAACTGAACCAAACTGAACTGATTAAAGCTTAATTGAACTAAAATTAAGTAAATGTGAACAGACCCTTAATACGAAGTATAAGTATAAAACATTGAGAAAACATGCAGTAACATTATTCATTCTAAACTAAGAGTTTGTTCTAATTTATTAGAACTGCGTTGATTGGAGCTAAACTGAACTGAACTGGTTGGAGCTGAAGTGAACATACTGCACTAAAATTGAGCTGAAAAGAGCACACCCTAAGTTCAATTCAGTTTCAATAAGTTCAGTTTAGTTCGGTTCTTATCTTAATTTCCTTCAGCTCCAGTAAGTTAAGTTCAGCTCACTTCAATAAATCAGAATAAGTTATAAGACCCAATTAGCTCACTTAATCAAAGTCTTGCCTTATATCTTGTCTTAAAACTCTTAACTTTGCAATATGTGATTATGTGATGGTATTTGAATTGTTGAAACCCATTGTAGTCCACTTATGAGTGTCCCACATTGAAGAAAGAGGATAGATCGATGGTTTCAATTTATAAGGTAGAGGAGTACCTCCTACTATTGCCAATTGGTTTTAGTATGGAAGCTCCAAAGCCTTGTTTGTGGACCAAACTCTCCTTCTCTTTGTTCGGGTTATCCAAACCCATTTCATATTGTTTTGAAATTTAACATGAATATGGGATTTCCTTACATCTCCTTCTACTTTCAAGTACCTACGGCTTAATTAAAACCTTGAACACTGAGTTCAAGTAAAAGTTTATTTATTTCCTTATTTTTTTTATTAAAATTAAAAATATATCACGTCAAATACAATGGATGCAAGTACAAAAGAAAATTATTAACAACTTGATTTGTTTTTTCTACAAGTAATGTACTTTCTTATGAGTTGTTCTAAGAATAATTGATCCTCTAAAAAACTTGAGTAGATAGTTCGTGGGAAGAAAAAAAAGCATATTATGCTCAATATAATATGATTAACATATTCCTAATAACGAGTACTTATAATTGATGCAATAATATCAGCCCCAGGTTTCAATCTTGTTGGCAGATAGCTATGCAACATAAATTATTTTTGTAAAAAATCAATAAAAATAGGATATACTCCATAATAGAAACAAACCAACAAAATTTTATTTAAAAAATTCTTTTCATATATAAAACCTTGCCAATTATAGACCACACATACTAATAATAGTTGTGTATCTTAAATTATTACGCATTACTATCTTTGTTTTTTAGTTGACACCGTCTGACTTTTACACTACTCATATACTACATTTTGACTCGCTTTTTGATTTATAGATTTGATAAAATATAGTCACGTTGAATTTTGTTTGAATTGTTTCAATGTATATTTTATTAATATTTACTTTTTATAGTTTTACAATGTTGATAATTAGAGATATTAAGCGTTAAAAATATATATTGACATCCGATGTGTCAACTAAAAAAAACTGAGATAGTGTTTTTTATTAAATAAATAAATAAATTGTGAGGAAATTAAGAATAATTTTTATTTTTTAAAATTTGTGATAATAAAAAGGAATTACGAGTACATTATTGAGGTGAATGATTAGTGTTAGTTTCGTACTCTAGTTTTTTGTTTTATCAGCTTTTTCTTTGATTGGTTTTAAAATATTTTATTATAATATTATAATAATATATGGTACTCGTATTGAGGTTTATGAGAAGAGGGTAGAAGGTAGGTCGGTGGTCGGTGGAGATACTAGATGGATAGATACCGTTATGACTTGACTTTCCGTCTCTGCAATAACAACTTCATGTGAATGGACAAAAATACCCCCGGGGCGTTTGTATTTATTCAAAATATTTAGGGATAGAATTGGAAAATAGTGGGAAAATGCAGAAATCTGTTTTGCCCTGCAAATGTGGAAGAGGTGTACTCTGTCTCAAGTGCCATATGTTATCAATTTCATTGGGGACTGAAGAGTGCCATATGTGATTTGTTCCTCGAGTTGTACATGCAACATCATCAATTTTATTTTAAGTTTATATACAAACCAAAAAAAAATAAAAATAAAAATAAAAAATAAATATTATAAGATGTGACTAATGTTAGTGGGATCTTTTTTGGGTTTTGCTATTTTGGTAGTGTGAAATGAATTGCTTTGAGCAGGAAATATTGCACAAATTACTTGATGGATCATGAGACATAGTAGTCTTTTCGATTGGTCATCTTATACTTAGCTCTTCCAAAATTTGTTTGTTTTTTCATCCATGATCAGATCACAATTAGAAAAGAAATTGTTTTTTCACTTGGCCTGTAATCAATTCGAAATCTAGTGTACTTGAAAAATTTATCGATTTAGAATCCGGAAATTTTTTTTTACTTATTTTTTGATGATAAATAATAATTTATTTGAATGTATATTTCACTATATGAAAATATGATCTTTATCAAAGAGTAAACATAAAAATTGAATCACCTATGTTATAAGGAGACCTACATAAATCAAAATTACCAACAAAGTTAGGTCTATTGGTAATATTTGTCACCTCACAACCAAAAGGTTATGAGCTCAAACCCCACTAGAGAGAGGCAATTTGGGGTGGGGATTCCGTTACCTCTCTACCCCCAAATTGTCTAGCCGCTAACCCGAGTCGGGATGGGCCTGTGAGAGATTCCGATTCAATAGGACTTTTTTCCTTATATGATAAAAAAAAAAGGGGGGGAAAAAATCAAAATTGACTCTCTGACCCGAAACTAACTACGGGTTTTATAGCTAGAAATGATCTAATTTTTTAGACGAGTTAATTGACAATAGATTGAAAAGTTTCCCTAGTTGATTTTGCTTATGTTTGATCCAAATTGATCCTTACCCAAATTTAACCCGAATGAGATGGAAACAAAGTAAATAATCCAATTATCACATCTTTTTAGATCATATGACTTCTGTTCATTTACATACCATATGTAGTGAATTATATAGATATCAAGTAAGTGTTTAAAAGCTTATTATCTGAGTCGACTGAGTAGGTAAAATAAACTTTACTTTAATGGCCAAAAACAAATAATCTCCTGCCGTAGAGGTACCAAATTTGTTCTTAAAAACCGACATATGACATAATACATAATACATGTATAAAGATGCAATAAGATATTGAAAGCAACCGGTTGACAGGCATACAGGAGGAGGATGATGCACTAGGAATAATTAATCCATTAATTTGATGTAAAGCTTATCGTATTGCTTGCCATCAACCATAGCGGCCGGCAACCAAATTAGACTTCACTCAATTATTACTTCTTTTTTTATAATCTCTCCTGTAGTTTGATTTCCCATTGTTGTGTACAATTTTGGATTAATACCCACATCTTTTTTCGTTGCGTTCTTCATATTTAAATGCAGAGTACTAACACATTGATAGACTATATATGCAAGTTTCCTTGTATATAATTATATTAGTTTAATATCCACATCTTCTTTCGTTACGTTCTAATTCGCATTTAAATAAGAAGTACTAACACCTCATTTGATACATACTATGTAAGTTTTGTTGATTGGTGTGTACAATTGTAGATTACCCACACCTACTTTCGTTGCATTTTCACATTTAAGTATTTAGCATTAACACATCATTTGACGTACACGAGCTTTTGTTTGTCTTACTCTACAAGTGATTAAATATATGTGTGAACCAAATTCGTCTACTTCCCTAATTTATGTAGTGTTTATTCATTTGATCTTATTTTATCTTTATCTTGATTTTATCTTACTAATTCTAAATTTATGTTCTATGAACTTGGTATCCTTTATCTTTTCTTTTATGTAAACTTTAAACCATAATTTATCTCATATTATTGGATTTTCTTAAACCTTATTAGGCCATATATACGGTGTTATTAGCCTTATATAAGGTACAACAAGTTTTGTGTGTGGCCAACTAACACACAAGTAACCTCTGACCAAGTAACCTTCCAAACTAGTAACCCTTGATAATGTAACCCCCCAACCTAGTAACCCCTGACGAAGTAACCCCTCCAACCATTAACCCCTGATCAAGTAACCCCAAACCAAATTAGTAACCCCTGACCGAATTGGTAACCCCTGACTGACCAAATAACTCCTGACCTAACCACCAATTCCACCACTAAAGAAGCCACCAAACCACCAATTCCGCAAACACCACAACAATCAACCATCTCTGACTCTTCAATGTCCAAAGAAACTAAAAAATACACTCAACTCAACAATGGAGTCAACAACTAATATAATTGTGAATAACTAGCTTTAACAAACTTTAATTTACAATCATTTATCACAAATATTTCTATTAGCACCAAATCAAATGATGAACTACACTTAATTTGGTACTGAGGGAGGGAGAGAAGTAATTGTATTAGCAGGTTCTACATTTTCAAAAAAAAAAAAAAAAAAAAAAAAAAAAGAAGGTTCTACCAATTCTAGTCTTCACAACGTACTAATTGTAACCATGGATTCCGAGCTTCGATTTTCGAAAATGTCGTTGTCTTCAACGGCGATAAAATCACCGACATTGGAAAATCTGACGACATTCTCCGTCGCCACCATGCTTCCGATGTCACTCTCCTCGACCTTCATGAAATTTGATTGAGATTGGAGAAGATGGAACCCTAAAAAGGAGAAAATCTAGAAATTGGGGATTAATTGAAGAAGATGATCTGAATTGAAGAATAGCTGAAAAGAGGAAAGTGAAAGAGGAGAGTAACCCCAATAACATTGACCACACCTTGTAACCTTCCAAACTAGTAGAGATAACGTGATTTTTTTTTTTTTTATTATTATTTATGATTGGCCACACCTTGTGGCCAGCCACATATAAAAGTTTGTGTATAAGGTATTATTAGACCTTAATTTATCAAAACTTAGCAACCTTTTCCTATCTACTTTGTTCTCTTCATCTTATTTTTGATGAACTAAACTGATTTTTACTGAATTATTATTATTTTGTCTAAAATTATTTTAATTGAACTTGAATTATTTTTACTGATTAATTTTTTTTGTTTATCGATCATCCATTATATTTTTTTTAGATTTATTAATTTTTTATTGATTAAAACTTATATTTATTGAACTAAAATTTATTTTTTTCATAAAAATAAGGATAATGGAGACTTAATACTCGGAAAAATAAAAAAAAAACAAAGAAAAGCTATACTTTGGAATTAAGAAATTTCGACTAATTTGGATACTGTGAAAATTAATCTTGACTCGTTGAATTATTATTTATCAAGGGTTTGTTTGTTTCATCTTATTTCATTTTATTAAAAAAAAAATAAAATTGATAACTTCAGAATAAATTAGTTAGTTTAGTAATTTTAGGCAAAATAAGTTATGGAAATTCAAATATGTTCCAATAAGTCCATTTTACATAAAATGAATTCAGATAAGTTTGGATGAAATGAAATAAACTTATATCAAATTAAATTAGTGCAAATTAAGTAATATTAGACAAAATTTATCCGATGAACCAAACAGAGCCTAAGACCAACTCCAATGGTTGTAGCTAGAAAATTGCTTGCATTATTAAATAGTTACTAGTTACTATATTGACCATTGAAGCTACAAAATGCAATCAGTTTGGCTATTTGCTAATCTAATTAATTTGCTTGGAAAAAACCTGGCAAAAAAAAAAAGAATAAATAAAATGAAATATAAATAAGTAAATTAAAGAGATGAAATTCATTTAAGTAGTGAACTAATAGCGAAGCCAAGCTCAAAGTAACTAAAATGATAATTAAGAAAAGGCTACGTATCATGAGTTCATGACAAGCTGATTTGACAAATTTGACAATTAGCTTGCCATTACTCTAGTTTGTTTTGCGACTATTTAAGTATGCTAAGAGTCTTGACTATTCTTTGGGCTACGTACTGACGGAGATTTTTTAAGGCCCATCGGGCTCCAACCTCCAAACGTATGTCATCACGATTTAAAAGTCTTGCATAGAATTTATGTTTGGGTAAATGCGTGTCCAACAAAAAGGGTCAGCAGTTCGATCCCTCTTAAAACCATAATTTATTTCCCTTCCTTGATATTCTTCCTTATTTTGATCAGAGTCCAAGCTCAAATACAACGGTGCTTTGTGATTAATATATTATAAAAATAATGCAACACTACTAATATTTATAAATGAAATTTAGCTAAATTACAGTAATTATGTATTAATATGGATTTTTTTAAAAAAAATTATTTTTTTATAACAAAACTATACAGAGTAGATATTCAGTGATTAGCATCCACATGTAAAATAAAATGTTTGATTTGTATGTGAGATGTAGGGCCCGTTCTAATTTATAGAACTGAATTGAAGTGAACTGAACTGATGGGAGCTAAACTGAACTGAATTGAATTGAATAAAGCTAAAATGAATTGTTTTTGAGAGAAGAAAATTAGGAGATGAATGAACTAAATTAATTGGAACTGAACTGAACTAAATTGAAATTAAGCTGAAGAGAACAGGCCCGTAATGAAAGGGTAAATGTACAAGGTTTTCTAAGTGGCTGTGCATATCGTGTTAACATAATAATTGAGCAAAACACAATTTGTGTATCAGCCTGTCTTGTGTGTTTTCGGCCACACCGTGTGGCCACTTAAAGTAACCCCTATAATACAGACCGTCTTTTGTGTATCCACCTTGTGGCCACTTAAAGTAACCTCTATAATACAGATCAATTTGTTTATCAGCCCCCGTTTTGTGTGCGGTAGGCCACACCATGTGACCACTTAGAGTAACCCCCCTATAACATTGATTAAGGGCCTATTCTCATTGACTGAAAGCAGCTGAACTGAGCTGAACTGAACTTAGTAATTAGTGATTTTTAACTGTGGATTAGTGATCTTTGATTATTTATTGATTATTTATTACTATACATATGTGCATATACATATGTACATATTAAAATATTTATGAAAAATATACTTTCTAATTATAATATTTATGGAAAATATATTATAAACATGAAACCCCAAAACATTTTAAACACATATACTATATAATTTAAAAATAAAATAGTATTATGACAAAAGAACACAAAACACTTTGTTGTTTAATTTTTTTAAAAAATAAAAAATAATAAAATAAAATTACGTTTTCAGTTGCAAATAATCGTTGCTTGTTGTACCCTACACAATTTTATTCGTTTACATGAACTAGGGATTCCATTTACGCACCAAGTTGAAGTCATGGAGCGAAGAGAAGATCATATATACTATGTACGATCCTAACAGAAAAACAGCTATGGATATTGTACGACAAGAAATAACTAATCAGATATGGGAGTCAGTTCAGAGGAATGTCGAGGTAATGGAGGAGCTTGGTGGACAAGAAGAGGAAGAACTAACCGATTATGAAAATTAGTTTAAGTTGTGTAGTACTCTAATTTTCTCAATGAGTTTAACAGTAGAAATGTATATAAAAAAAATAGAACCATTTTAACAATGAATTGTATCAATATTATTATTATTATTATTATTATTATTATTATTATTATTATTATTATTATTATTATTATTATTATTATTATTATTATTATTATCGTCGTTGTAATGAGAGCTTAAAAAATGAAATTTGGCTTTATATCATTAGCAATATCATTAGACATAAACTGAACTGAACTGAACTGAATTTCAACGTACGAGAACAGGCTCTAAGTAACCCCTATAATACAGACTGAGTAACCCCAATAACATTGACCGAGTAACTCTATAACAATGACGAAATAACCCCTTTAACACTGACTAAGTAACCCCCATTACACTAGCGAAGTAATCCCATAACATTAACCCAGCCACACATAAGACTTTGTGTTTGTGCATTTTGCACGTTAAAACTCCTACAAAATTGTATGAAGAGAGGGTTCCATTCATGACATATCTTATTAAAACCCATTTTCATACAAGAAGAGTAACAATTTCATCTATTAAAACATGTCATACCTGACCATTTTGATGAAATGTATCCCTCAGTAATAATTATCAATACTTGTATTCTTGTGAAGGATGAGCCTTTGGGGTGAAAAAATGTTTTTATAAGAAATAAAATTTTCAATTTTCCGTTTATTTGGTTTGTGAAGGGGTGAAATATAATTAGTGCGAATTTGTACCCTTAATGATAAAAAAATACTTTTATTTACGAAGTGATATTTTCATCCCTCTTCCTTTCGCCCCCCATTCTCCTCCTGACCATTTTACTCTTGTTTTTATTTTCTACTATACAACTTTAATTGTAAGGAAGCAAACAAAGGAGATTACTTTACAAGTGTGTTTTTAATGAATGAAACATAAATTTTCAGTGAATATATGTTTTGTTAAAACCAAACGAAGCATGGATTCACACTCCCTTCTTTTTTTAATTGCATCAATTTGACCAGCATAAAAATTTCATGTAGTTGACTTGTTTTTATTAAAAATATTGTGTAAATGAGTTCGTTGTGGAGTAAAAGAGTGGTAGTGGTGAATAGTTTACAAAGTATGTAAAAGTAAAAAATAGGAATAAAATACAAAGTACTTCGTACTACAAAGTATTAAAAAAGGGTGAGTGGCGTAGGAGTAGGGATCATGTGAAGAGAGAGATAATAAAATACGGAGTAGTGTAGAGTATTTTCAATTAAAGAAGTGTTGTAAATAAAAATAAAATGACCGGTTTCAATTAAAGGGTTACAATTTAAAAAAGAAAACGCAAAAAAAATGTTGCGATTGAAAATCAGGTGAATATAATGCATCTTTTATATCGGAATAATTTAGGGAGGATTGGTGTACCCCACAAAGCCACACGGCGACACACCTGAAATTGACACCAGCTGTTAGAACCTAGGAAGTTGGAGTGAGCTCCAATACCGATTCACCGCAGCTGTAGGAAGAGAGAGAAAGTGAAATAGAGATCGAAGGAGCGCACGATACCAATTTACCAGAAATACTAAGGAACAAGAGAACAAAAAGCAAAAATTGGAAAAAAAAATAGAAATATCACCAAAACAAAATTAAGACGGTTTCTTATTCTGTCTATATTTCTCTCTTCCCTCTCTTCATTTCTCATTTTTATTCCTCTGCTAATGCAATTTCTTAGGGTTTTCCTGTAAATTCTTCTCTTTTCTTTGTACCAATCTCAATCAGCGTTTCCAGAACATTCGATTTCGCGGCTGATATTTGATCAGATTATGAACTTGTTTATCGTTGTTCGTTGATTGCACTATCCAAGGATTTGAGCGATTAATCAGGAGTCACCATGTTTGAAGCGCATGTAAGTAATTTAATGCTTCATTTTGCGTTTTTGTTTCATGATTTTGATATAATTTGATTCTCGAATAACGATCATTGGCTCTGAGTAAGTAGATTTCAAATGTGTTTAGTTGCTAATTTTAGGCGAAATTAGATTGTGGATTATTTAAATGAAGAATAAGATTAATGCGACATGTTTGAGTTTTTGCCTGATTACAGTAGTTTGCCTCGTTATTTGGACGAAGAAATGTGTACATTTTAGCATCATTTTCGTGTTTTTCGTAAATTGCTATTGGATTTGTTTTGTTTTCACGCTGTAACTGAGGAAATTGAATGTGTTTAGGCTGATTAGGCGAATACGGCTCGTAGATGCTTTAGAAGAAGAATGAGATGCATGAGATTGTTTGAATATTGCCTGATGACAGAGTTTGTTTAAAGGCGTGTTTGAATATTATTTTTATCATCAGTAATGTGCCAAAGTAAGAACGAATTGTTTTTTTTTTTTTTTTTTTTTATTGGAATGCGAAAGTTAACTTACTGCCTAGCAGAGTGTAGGAGTGTTTTTCTAAGAATGTAGGGAGCATAATAGGACTTTGGTTAGAGAATCTCTTTGGTAGTGCTTCCAAGTGCTGTGTCACTTTATCTAGAGTTCTAAGTTTGTGACACTAGGTTTAGCATTGTCCGGGATTTGTAAGGTTCAATACTCCAATCAATGTGAAAATGTGTTGGTAGCTAGTAGCTTTCAAATGAGTACAGAAGATAAATGGTTCTTTTGACATGGAAAGATGGTCCTTTTTAATGATTTTTGGTTGCTCAAAGAAACTATGGACCCAAGGATTTGCTGGTGTCTTAGTGTTTTAAGCTTTGTTGGGACTGAGTGGTTCTTTTTGACAGCATTTTGATTCCTTGCATCAGGAGCTATACAGGGTCTTTCATCAGTAATGCTGTATCATGGATTTGTGTTTTGTGATTCTTTTACAGCACTCTTTGCCCTCTTCTATGCCTTCACCTTTGTTATTAGATCTCTGGTTTTAATTACGTGTGTATACACTGTAGTGACATGATTGACATATTTTACTTGCAGGTCCTGCAGTTGCTTAAAAGATATTTAGGTGAATATGTTCATGGACTTTCCTTGGAGGCTTTAAGAGTTAGTGTATGGAAAGGTTTGTAACTTATTAGTATTATTTTTTCGTTTATTCATCTTTTTCTTTTACTCATTGTGATTGCAAGATGGGTAAGTTAGGTTGACAATTATAAAAAAGTTTAATTGTTCAATTGTAATTTGTTCTTCTTGTTGTTTGTGTGTTGTAGGTTTCATATTATAGTTTATTTATTTGCTCCCTGATTTCTGCAGCCAAAGTTTCTTATAGATGTCCCATGCAATAAAAGATCCATTTTTTTTTAATTTTTATTTTTTTTAAAAATTTTTATCATGTCAATTTTATATCCTCTGTAAAAGGGCATCTCAATCTTTTGCGGTTTTACTTAACTATAGGGACATTTTGCATTTGCTCGATAGTTATTTCTTTTAATTGTTTATGTTCATGTACTCAATTCAGATTTAATTTGGTAGCTCGATTGGTAGAAATCTTTACTTCAAGTAGCATTTCTTATGCAAGATTTAAGTCTTTTGCTTGGTGTAAAGTTAGTCAATTGTTTGACAAATGTGGTCAACAGTTTTTGAGTTATCCTATATTCACATCTAATCTGTTGTGCTCGATATAAAAATTGATTTGTACAGCAAAAATAATTCTATGTGATTTCAGGTGATGTTGTTCTTAAAGATTTAAAGTTAAAGGCAGAAGCATTGAACTCGCTTAAGCTTCCTGTTACAGTAAAAGCTGGTTTTATCGGCACTATAACACTAAAGGTACCAAATCAAATCCTCCAGGATCAGTTATTACTATGTTATTCATTTTGTATTCTTATTTCTATTAACCTTTACTATATGATGACACTTGATATTGGTACCTTATCTTTTTATTTATTTATTTATTTATTTATTATTGTTATTTTTATAGAATTATTAGTTTTCTTTTGCATAGACTTCTAGAACTATTTGTTTTATCTTTTGTAATGCTTATATAATTACTGAGTTTCTTTTTATTGTAAAAAAAATGTATAGTTAGTAGGGTCATAAGATTGGAAGTCTATAATGTTCATGGTATGGTTTCTGATGTTTACATGGGTAAAAAGATGGAAGTAATGTTATCTTGGTGGAAATTAAATTGGAAGACAGGGAGGATCTGCTTTTCATGTTTTAAACGTTTTATTATTTTTTGGCATTTAGAATCTATTATTATGTTTTTGTCAGTTTAGTGGTTACTAGGGAGTCATTGTAAACCCAAACAAAAGTTTCGAGGGATCAAGTGATTGATGAAATATCCAAAAGCTTCCTACCAAGTGCTGCTTAATGCTTGTGTGTTATGCTTTTAAAGGTATTGTGTCGTCACATGCATTTTAGCACCCCAAAGTCTTTAATGCTATAAGAAACTTTATCTTTCACTTACAAAGCTCATTGATAACTTCGTCTCTTTCATTAAAAAAGTCTTCCACCACCACCACCACCACCACCACCATCCATTATTCTACTATTAAAATCTAGGGAAACAGGATAGAGAAATTCAAAGGATTTAAAGAAAAGAGTTTTCCCAGGGATAATCAGAAGGACAACCTTATGGTGTTTGGTAGTCAGGAAAATTTTGAAGATGGAGGAGTCAATGGAAGTGGGGGTGTTGGTTGTCATGGTTGATAGTATTGCCAAAGAAAGAAGAGTGGAGGTTAACTGGCACTACCAACTTACCAAGCCAAAAAAGGGGTATTGCCAAAATAGATGGGTGGTTAGTAGGTAGGGGCATTTATGTCTTTTGTCATTCTTTCTTGCCTGTCCTTGCCAAAATCAAGTTTGTCATTTAAAAAGAAATGGAGGAAGCAGGAAAATGAAGTCTAACTTGTCTCCAAGCTACTTAATTTAAAATCCTAAAGATTAATTAACGAACCAAGATAACCCACTGATGAACAAAATCAACTTTGGAATCCCAAGGGATCATAATTATAGTAAATAAGTATCTTTATATTCGATTAAGTAAATAATCAATTTTGGATCACCTACTTTGCTTCCATATTACACAAATCCAGCCAACATAAGTTTCATTGGTCATTCTCTATATCCACCAAAACGCTGTGCATAGTTGTTATATCAATGTGGAACCTCTTCAGGGTACCTTTTTCTTTGTCAAGTAATACCTTGATGGGTTGAGGCTCTAAGCCTAAAAAAAGAACTTAAAATTGATGAGAATCTGTAGGAATACTTCTTTTGCAAGTGCACCACCAAATTGGCAACAGGAGTACGGGACCATCTTTCTCAATTCAGTAGGTCAACCTTTCTTCATCTTTCTTTTTCTAGCTACAAGAGAATTTTTCGCCGAACAAAGCTGAACCTTATCCCAAACAATTCTAATGATTATCGCTGAAGGGACTGAACCTAAGTACAAGATAATTAACAAGCTCTTCCTCCTTGAGTCAAACTACACTGGCATGTATAGTTTTTCTCTTTAGAATATCCTCATTTCAATTGGGATCTTCTCTTTGGCTGCCGTCCAAGAAAAGAGGCAAGCTATAGAATATGCCTCATATTTTATTCAAAATCAAGTAAAGCCTTTTTTTTTTTTTTTTTTTTTTTTTGAGGGAAAATCAGATAATTTGACAATAAAAGAGTTGTAATCAAGTAAAGCTTAATACAACTCTTTTATTGTCAAATTATCTGGTTTTCAAAGGCTATAAATTAACTTACTGACTGTAAATGTTATCTGTCCTTTTCTTCATTACAGTATATCAGAGTGTCTTTCTTTGAAGGTTTGGTTAGTTAACCTTAGAAAAGTAACGTTTTTTCTTGCACAACCCTTTATTTAGGAAAAGAACTTTACAACAATTGGTGGTAGGAGCTGTGAATGCTATTCATTTCATTGCAAACTAATAATTAATAACTCCCTCCATCACTTATTGTTTACTCCATTTATTTTTTCGCGGTCTTTAAATAACATGTTTGACCATTAATATCTTCAACTGTGTATTGGTAGAAACTCTATAAAGTTGATATTTTGAAGTTTTTGCTCTAACGAATCTAACAAGATCCCACATTACTATGTTTTTTCTAATATATCAATGGAACTTCCTAAAGAAGGCTGGATTGCTTCTTCATGTTCTGGCATATTCTGATTGATTGGCATTTAAAGTACCTCTAGGCTTGTTCTTTGGAAACTTGCTAACTTCTTTATGAACCTTATAGGTACCTTGGAAAAGTCTTGGCAAAGAACCCGTGATCGTTCTCATAGATCGTGTTTTTGTTCTTGCTGATCCTGCACCTGATGGAAGAACACTCAAGGTAGGATTATTTCCTATTTAAATAGAAAGGCTGCTCTCTGCGTGTAATTGACTTACATGTGGATTCCCATTCTTAATTTTAGTATTTTTTGCTCCTTTTTTTCAGTAATTGTGAATTTACTTTGAATGTTTTTACATTCAGGAAGAGGATAGAGAGAGACTCTTTCAAGATAAACTTCATCAGATTGAGGTGTGTATCCATGGGCTCATTATCATTAGGTGACATTGTTTATTTGATTGTGAAATGTAGTATTTTTTTTTTTTTTTTACTTTGTGATTGCATTGACTCTCTTTGTAGGGTAACATATATTTCTTCTGTGTGCTGTAGTCATGGATATTGAGCTTCTATGTATGTAAACCTGGTTTCTGTTTATGGATTCAAGTCTTTAGGGAACTTCATCCCACTATATTGTTGCCTCTCTCTTTCCTTCAATTTTTTTCTCTTTTCAATTAGCGGCGGAGCCAAGGGAGGGGAGGGGGGATTTGGTGTGGGCCATGGCCTCCCCCATGGCTGTAAATATTTATTATAGGTAGCAATAATTAGCACATGATAAGTTGTAGTAGTGAAGGTTTAGTTAGGTTTCAATGTTCAATTTGTCTTCCTCATTTTGGGTTCGATTCCTGTGCCTTGTATTTTTTTGTTTATTTTGCTTTAGTGCCTTGATCGCTTGTAGTAAATAAGTAGTATCCAGTTTCAGGTCTTTGGACATTTGTCTCTATTTCCAAAATGTATTCAACTAGATATTTTACTTTTCATAAAAATATTCGGGTTCACTCGTTTAATTTTTATTGTTCTAGAATGGAAATCATTGTATTTTATATTATAACAAAGTAATATCTAATTGTTTTTGAGTACCACAGACATAAGATTTGGCTCCCCTAACAAAAAAATTCTTGCTCCGCCACTGTTTTTAATGTATATGTGTTTCTGTCTAAAATTGTATTATGGTATCAAGAATTTCTAGTTGCCTTCTTTGGAAATGAGTAAGAATGGGGCCTGTGGTGCCTGAATTGGCTGAATATCGGGTGGCCGTGCTGCATTTAGCTGATTTAAACTCTGTTTAGCCCTCACTAGCTGCCAATAAAAAGGAATTGAGTTTGCAACTTGACAGTATTCTACATCTCATCACTCATGATCCATGCTTGAAATACTTTATGCATAACTTGTGCTTTATATATTCTACATGCATTTTTTCCTATATCAACTCCTGCTTTGGCTCTGTCTTTTATTTTGTCTTCATGCTGATTCCATATCTTGAAAATCGATCTTTAATATCAATCTATTAGATATTTTACACTTTTCATAGCATATACATTTTTCTGTAGATGTAAGATTCTCATGGTCAGTATTCCAATCTCGCTCTGTGTCTTTCTCGTTAAAGTCTAAAGCAAACCAAGATTCCATCATTAGAACACCTAAGTATATTTGACTGCTGTGCTTTTCACTTTGTTCCTCTGTGCATATAGATAATGTGTATGTCTATAGTGCCATCAGACCCAGCACTTCCAGTTGTTGCTGTTTGTTTTTACTTGAAGAAATACTGGAAGCTGCGAAAGTACAATGTTTAGGAACTTTCACCCTTTGTATTAATGCTGTTACACTGGTGGGGACCATTGTGCCCACTGTGGTTGCTATTTTCATCTCCTTGGGGTGGTGGTGGTGGTGAAGAGAAGGGGATAACTCCTCAATTATTACCTACGTCTGGAAGCAGCTGTGACTTTGACTTCTTATTTTAAGGATCTGAATGATTTTAGTACAGGGCCCTTGTAGATTGTAATAATTGGACCTCTGTCCATCTTCCAATTTATGTAAAGGAGTTTTTTTAGAGATCAATTTACTCAAATGATTACTATGCTAAGAAAGCTGACTAAATGTACCTGGACATTCTCAAAATAGCATATCTGATCAGGGAGTATGTACGCAACATCTGCATGTTTATTTATTTATTTATTTTTTATTTTATTTTTCTTTTTACTGTCTTGTGCAGGAAACTGAAGCAGCAACACTTGAAGCAATGTCTAGATCAAAGCTTGGAAGTGTATGCTCCCAAACCTTATATTTTGAGCATTATGTGTTTGATTATAGTTTTTCTACTTGCTTTATTTAATCAACCATGCTAAGAATTTTATGGTGTGCTTATAACAATTTTCTCTGTGAAGACTCTTTGTGCATATGCATCACCTTTTTGACATTTTAGTTGTATGACTGTATAAGGCACAAAATTGTAATGGTGGCTTCCTTTCTCCTTCGAAAGCTCAAGCTGAAAGAATCTCTTCTTATGGAATTGTTTATTTTTTGTTGGTGCCGATAAATCGTATTGAAGGCATAGTTTTTTATCCACTTCTTTTCTTTGTTATTTTTGTTGTGTCCTGGCTGTAGCTTGCAATTGTCTATTGATATTTTGAGCGCTTCATATATTTTTTTTTTATTATTTTTATTTATTTATTTATTTATAATCATCTCATAGCTTTCATTTAGACCCGAAGATCCTGGACCTTTGTTCATGTTCTTGACTATTTGTGTTTCCAGAATGCTTCAGGAAATTCTTGGCTTGGCTCTCTTATAGCCACCATCATCGGAAATCTTAAAATCACAATTAGCAATGTTCATATCAGATATGAGGATACTGTAAGGTGAACAACTATCAAGTTAACCCATGAAAAGGCTTAGACTTTCTTTTGGTTCTGAAACAAGTATTTTTAAATGTTATCTCTGTATTTCTTTTCTGCTGGCAGTAATTATGGACATCCTTTTGCCTGCGGTGTTACCTTGGCAAAACTTGCTGCTGTTACAATGGATGAGCAAGGAAATGAGACCTTTGATACAAGTGGTGCTCTTGATAAATTGCGCAAGGTGAGACTTCATTTATCTTCATCTCTACAGGAACTGCACCCCCATTTTTTTATTTTTTAGTTGTTGGACATGCTTGCTCTACTTGGTGGTTTTAATTGTTTGCTAAAATTGATATCTTTCTGCCTCACAATGTCATTTTGTGGTTACAGTCCTTGCAGCTTGAAAGACTTGCTATTTATCATGATTCTGACAAACCTCCTTGGCAAATTGATGAAAATTGGCAAAATCTTAGTCCAAGCAAGTGGATCGAGGTTTGTGGTCACCTATGAATTAAATAGGAGTAAAGTGTGTAGCACTACTTGCTTTTTTTTGCTACCTCTGACATACATTTTTCCCAGATTTTTGAAGAGGGTATTAACGAACCTGCACCTCAACCTGATTTTGGCTCATCATGGGCTTTAAACCGTACGTATTTAGTTGCGCCTATCAATGGAGTGCTTAGATATCACCGGCTTGGAAGCCAAGAAAGAAACAATCCAGAGATTCCGTTTGAGAAAGCTTCACTTTTCTTGAATGATGTTTCCTTGACTGTCACAGAGGTATTTGATATTGCTTATGCATTCACACACACCTCGGCTTTTTATAATTAAAAAAGGAAGAATTGCTTTTAGTCTGAAAAAATGTAATAGAAGGTGGATGTTATTCTGATAAGACAAGAATTGTACTATTGGCGTACTTTATAAGTGTTTCCCCATCACACTCCCTTGTCTTCTTTGTCTCTTAGGGTTTGCAGAAAGACAAAATACCTCCTATGTTTCAAAGAGTTATAATTGGTAACAAAGAATTTTAATTTTTTCCTGTTTTGAAATAATTCTCTATTGTGAAAATATACATAACTGAATATAATAATGTAGCATTTTTTTAACCATTTAGTTGTATATGTAAATGTATGTAAATTGTAACAATTATATTAATAGATGCCAAGGGGTTGAGGGGGTGCCTATGTGTCATCCATAATTGATTTCAAGAATATTGCTCAGATTCTTTGAATCTAATACTTTTTAGCTATATGAAATTCAAAAATAGGGAAGCTATACCTTTATATCCTTAAATATATGTTGGTTGCCAAGTGCGCCTTCCAATCGTCAATGGATCCATCATCCACAACATTGAAGATGTTCACTTGTTCCTTTTTGTTGTTCTTATTTTTCTTATCTCTTTTTGATATTCCTTTGTACCGTTTTGTTAGTCTCATTTTAAATCTTTATATTAAAGAGAGAGAAATCCCACGTATGGGATTAAGGCTTTGATTGATTGGTTTATTGATATATTAAAGAGAGAGAAACTTTGATGGAGAACTTAATTCCTCTGTTCTTTATGTTCTACTCACTCCGTCCCTTATTTAATGTCTTTTCTCATTTTTCAAGGAAATTAAGGAGAATGGAGGGAGTGAGGAATATTATATATGGAAGATAAATAGTAGAGAATATTATATGGAGAAGATATAAAGTATAGAATATTGTATGGGAAAGATTAAATGTTTATTATATATGGAAAAGGTTATAAAAGGTGTATAAATTAAGTTAAAATTATGTAATATTTTTAGAAACAGGCACAACATTTTGGGACACCTAAACTAGATAACAGGCATGCAAATAAGGGACGGAGGGAGTATTTAGTTATTATAGATGTGATTTTAAGAAAATATTGAAAAGTGAGTGTAAGATAAAGTAGGATAAAGTAAGGGAGAGAATGTTAAAAGGTGAGCGGATGTAAAAAGGTAAATAAAGTAACAGAGAGGGTGTGGAAAGGAGTAATTATGGCGGGGAAAAAAGGGTAAAATATTTAAGGGGGTAAGCCTTAAATAGAATAAAGCATAGTTAGTAGAGTAAAACATAATGAACTAAAATGGAAAGTGAGTAGACCAAAAATAATATGGATGGAGTATGGTCTTGATTTCTTTTATAAGATTTTTATTTAAGAAATTTTCATATGCAAGTTGTTGTCTATGTATTTTTATTTATATGTATTTTTTTAATCATTGTGACAGGCTCAATATTATGATTGGTTAAAACTCGTGGAGGTCATTTCAAGGTACAGGATACATGTTGAAGTTTTGCATTTGAGGCCCGGTGTTCCAGTTTCAGATGAACCCCGTTTGTGGTGGCATTATGCCGTGCAAGCAACTTTGCAGCAGAGAAGAGTGTGGTAAGGATTTTCTTTTCTAAATATTTTGTTTGTGCAAGTGTGTCATGTCAGTTTGGAGGTTAGGTATTGTGATGGTAGGTATCTTCTTTACTTTGTATCAGTAGACCTAAATCAACTCATTGTTTCTATTTTCAGCTATTCCTTTTCGTGGGAACGTATTCAGCATCTTTGCCAGCTGCGCCGACGTTATATTCATGTATATGCTAATTTTTTGCAACAACTGCCTGATGTTGATAATGAAGAGCTGCGACAGATTGAAAGGGATCTTGACTCGAAAGTGATCCTTTTGTGGAGGTGTGTGTTACTCGACGCTTCACCTTTACTTGATAAATTAGAAGAAGTCTTAAACAGGGTGTGTTGGGGCTTCCTTGATACGATGCTGGAAGGGATCGGATGTTTGTGGTGGAGAAATTGGGTTAGGGGTTGTTCTTGTTTTTACTTATGCTTGTAAATTTTTCGCCGTTGTATGGTTGCACTGTTTATGTTAAGAAACATGTTTATGTAATTGGAGAGTTCTGTGTTTGTCTTTTCACTTTCTTTGTGTGTTGTTATTTTCCCTTTTACTGTTTTTGAGTTGCCACAAAGGTGTTGTGTAGGGCTTGGAATGTTGAAGGAGAATGTTGTGGCTTGATGCTGGTTTGGACAATTTACCTTTAGAGAATGGAAAATTACCTATTTATTTACTTGTTAGGGGGGTTGTTAAGGATTTATTTATTTTGTTTTTGTTTTGAAGCTGATTATTAATTATGACAGCAAAGAAGCAAATCTCTTACTTCTTCTGAAACTTAATGAGGCCCCAGCGGCCATGGGGACATTATTACAAAATATTTCTTCTATGGCCGCTTTCAACATTATAGTGTATTGTTCTTTTCAGGTTACTCGCTCATGCTAAGGTTGAATCTGCAAAGTCGAAAGAAGCAGCTGTGCAAAAGAAGCTTGGAAAGAGAAGCTGGTTTTCTCTCAACTGGTGTGTATATGCTTTTGCTGATCATGTACCCTATTGATTCGTTTTTGAAGTGTTGTAATATTTGCTACGCGTGCTATTTCAGGCAGGCTTCACCTGAAGATGATGCTGTTTCAGATGGTTCAGATGTGTCTGAGTTAACACAGGAAAAGTTGACAAAAGAAGAGTGGCAGGCAATTAATAATCTTTTAAGTTATCAGCCTGATGGAGAACTTGCTTTGTATTCGGGGAAGGATGGACAGAATATGGTACAGTTTCTTGTTGATGTATCTATTGGTCAGGCTGCTGCAAAAATCATTGATATACATGGCACAGAAGTTCTTTGTGGTAGATTTGAGCTACTTAAAGTGTCAACCAAACTCAAACATAGGAGCACTTGTTGTGATTTATCATTGAGATTCTATGGTTTGTATGCTCCAGAAGGCTCCCTTGCGCAGGTTGTTGTTTAGTTTGATTTTTTGCTCATCTGTTTTTACATTTTAGCTACATGTTCCTGTCTTGTTTATAATATATTAGTATATTACTATACTTGTTTAAAAAGCATTGTTTTTTGCATATTTTGTGTTTAAACTTGAAGTTTGATTAGCTAAACCAATGATGATATGGATCTTGATTTTGCTACTTTTGCTTAGTTAGTTTCTTTGTTCTGCTGTTTTTTGACAGAGTGTTTGTAGTGAGCAAAAGGAGAATGCATTGGTTGCCAGTTTTGTGCGGTCACCAGTGGGGGAAAATGTAGACTGGAGGCTTTCGGCCATCATGTGTCCTTGCCATGTCACGGTAATTCTGCAAAATCCAACGCTATGTGCATGAGTATTTGATTATTGTTGTGGGTATTTTTACTGGAGAGGTTAATAATACATATGATCTGTACTTCTAGTCAAATTTATGGGGTAAAAATGTTTCTTGGGTTTCCTTCAGATTTGTACTTATGGGGGTTGTTTAGATTACCTCTATTTAATGTAAAATGCAGAATGCTTGGGCTTACCAAGTTAGATCTGTGAAAGGGGTGGCTCATGTTGTTTTGTGGCTTGTTGTCAACACATGTTTTTGTTAATTGGAATCATAGTGAAGACCTGAAAAATGAGGCTTTTTGTTTGGCAGCATTTCTGTCGTGGATTAAATAACTAGAATAAAAAAATGTAAATAATTTATGAAACCTCACTTTTACTCTCATGTATGAGTTTCCAGAAAGGTTTTTTACAATCTTTACAGGTGTTTGGTACACCTGTCATTCTCCCCTTTAACTCAACTCCCCAAATAGTCACTTCATCTTATCAATTACCATCATCCAGCCACACCACTACGACCTTTGCCTTATCTGTCATAAAATTCCCGAATTGCTCATCACTCCAATGGTTAAACAAGATATAAATCAAGGGCCTGATGCTTATGTGTGGGTTAATATGATAACTAGGGATGGCAATTTAGTTCGAATTCGATCCGATCCGAGGAAAAAAATCCGATTCGAATCCGATATTAAGAAGTCCGAATCCGAGTCCGCTAAAAAAAGTCCGACTCCGAATGAGTGGTGGATCGGGACTCGGATCTTGAGTGGGGTCCGATCCGAAAGATCCGAGTCCGACCCATTTGAAGATAACGTCTGTTTTTTCATTATATCTGACTCCTTATGGAGTATATAAATACTCCATATGAAACAAAAAACCCTATGTCCTTTACCCCAGCCGCCACATTCTACTTCCTGTGGTTCATCTCCCATCTATTATCTCTTTTTCTCTCCCCTCTTTCTCTGCACCTCATTCCCTTATTTCTTACTATAATCCAAGTTAATTTCTATTATAATATATTCCATTCTTGACTCTCACTCACACTCGTCTTTTCAATAAGTAATTAGATACGAAAATGGTGATGCAAGAAGAGTGTCCACTACCCAACAATTAGTTTCCTTTCAATATCTGACTTTTTTTTTATTTTTATTTATTTATTTTTATAAATAACTCAATATATGACTTTTTAATTGGGAGAAAGTCATCAATTGTTCTTGGCCTTGCTTTGTTTGTCATTTGTTGTAAATTTATAAGGATGGACGTCAATTTTACATCTATTGTTTGTTGCTACAATCGTTTGTGATTTCGATAATCGGATTTGGTTTCGGAGGTCCGGCAATTTGGAGGTCCAGAAATCCGGTGGATTCGGATTCGGGGGAGGCTTGTCCGGACTCGGATCCGAATTCGGATCCAAATTTGTACTCCGTTTATCAATCGGATCGGATTCGGATCTTGTTAGGTCCGACCCGAATCCGATCCGTTGCCATTCCTAATGATAACTATATGGTAAGGTCAGTTTAGTTGGTCAAAGTGAAATGATGATGATTTATATGGTTTATGATTTTTTGATGAGTGTTGTTTTTATGTGAGGGTTGTGAGTTGATGATGAGATGTTAAAAGACTGGCTGATATGTTTTCTGTGAGTGTGATGCTCTGTGTATTGCAAGATAGGGAAGAAGCCCCCGCTAAAAATCTTTATGATGATTTCCTCATTCAAGATTTAGGTCTTGTAACTTTTGGACTACTTGCACAACTAGCACTACACAACCACTCCATTGCCAGGGGTCACCATATTAAGTTAGCGGTCCATACTCCATACAATATTACCATGATTTTGCAAACCACTCTATGCTGTGGACTCTTGCATTTGAGAAGTTGAATTCCGTAAGTGTGACATTATTTGGTTATGTAGCGGTCATTTTCAGCATTTTAGGTCCAAAAAGTTGCTACTCAGTAAACAAACTACATTGAGGTGTCTGATGCTGCATTGCTACCTGATATGATTTTTCTTTGGATGTAGTTATTATGTGTAACTCCTTTAGGTGTAATATTAGCGAGGCTGTGTGATTCTCGCTTCCATCTTTAACCTTAGATGATGAAACTACTGCTTTTTCTCTGCTTTCTGTCATCTTTTCTGATGTGCCTGATCCTTTACTGAAAATTTTAGAGACTTTTTTTTTTTTTTTGACAAAGATTTTAATGGAAAGTTATGAACGCGTGATGGAGTTTCTGAAGAGGAGCAACGCAGTTAGTCCTACTGTCGCTATAGAGACTGCCACAGCATTACAGGTAATGTAGGAAAGCTTATGTGATATCTGTTAGTAATCAATAATTTCTTAATTTTGTCTGTTGTAGATGACAACTACTTTAACTAGTCATTCATATACTGCCCTGTTCAAATTTATTATTAGTCTGTGATACTCATTGAATAATTTTTTTTATGGACAGATGAAGTTTGAAAAGGTTACACGTAAAGCTCAGGAGCAATTTCAATTGGTTTTGGAGGAACAGAGCAGGTATTTATTTGTATTATTTGATATAATTTGGAAATTTACTTTGGCTTTAGAGGCATCTTTTTCACAGCTGTGATTATTATGATGTCGGACTTTGAACTTGGGTGCATAGAAGCAAGCCAAATGTTCTTTAAAGCACAACCTGATCTTATTTGATCAAGCAATGTCTATTTTGTCTTCTGTTGATGGCATCAGCTCTTTAAAAAGCAAATCTTGTATTGGTAACCGTTATTTTGAATCAACAACTTTTTTTAACAGCTGTGGATTATCACCAATCCGTTTAAGCCAATTAAATAATAGCAGTTTTACAAGGATAATAGTATTTTTATAAAAAGAAGGGAAAACTTGGTTTTTGATATTCTAATGTGGAAAAGAAGGGTAGCACAATTTATACCTTGTGAGGCAATTTAGTGGTGGCGTCTATGTTTATTTTTTTACTTGCTGTTGTTTTCGGAAGGGCCAAGTGGTATGAAAACTTTGGGTGGTGGTTGTTGGGTTGCATAGGTAGTGTTTGTGACAAGTGAATCATTGGCGTAGACTATAGAGTGAATAATTTTGACCAGTGCTTCCGAAATCTATGATGAAGCCAGAATGACGGTGATGACAAAGTTGGTTGTTGAGTTACAGACCTTTGACTTTCGAAACAATAAACATAATTAAGGGCAAAAATCCCGACACTTTTGATTACCATGGGTCGCTTGTTGACACGACACTACACGTGACACGATAAAATGTGCGATATGACACGATACACGACATGGCTTCGGAAAAGTGTGGACTTTGGGTGTCGAAAAGTGTCCGACGACAAGTAACGACTTCCAAGTTTACCATCGATTTGTTAATTCTCTTTGTAATTTTATACCAAATCTCCTAGATTTGAACTTTACGAATTGCATACAATAGGGCTTTAGGTGGTTGAGAGGTGCGATTCCACCGGTGGATTTTCCGGCATAGGTTGGTTGAAGAGAAGAGTGTCGCCAAGTTGGAGAAATGGAGATTGGAGAGTGGAGATTGGTGTGAATAACAGAAGGTAGCAAGGAATCTATTATATTATTGTAGACTTTTTTTTTTTTCAACTTTCAGTCACTAATACTCCAAAACTCCAATCCTCAAAAGTCAAAATCTATGCACTCAAATTTTTTCATTTTTTTTTAATAACTTCTAACTCTTTTATTTTTAGAAAAACCATAACTTCCATAGTACACGTGTCAAAATCAACATATATTTTCCCACCAAAACATTTTTTTTTTCTGTTTTTTTCCTTAAAAAATACTTCCTTCGTTTTTTTAGTTGACACCGTTTGACTTTTACACTAATCACACAACATGCTTTGACTTGCTTTTGTGGTTTATAGATACGATAAAACGTATTCATTTGGGATCTTGTTTGAATCGTTTCAATGTATATTATATTAATATCCACTTTTTATAATTTTTTAGAGAAATTAATCGTTAAAAACATGCGTTGGCAAGCGTGATAATGGAAAGATGTCAACTAACTAAAAAAAAAAACAGAGGAAGTAACATGATAAAGAAGTTAATGAATAAAAAACTTACAATATTTATAAAAATATTTTAAATTATATATCTGAATAGAGTTTAAGAGTAGACATTAAATAAATTCAAATTTCAATAAAAAATAAAATATTGTTATATAAGTTTTTTCATTTAAACCAACTTCATTTTGATTGACTTTTATTATTTATAAATCTTATAATTATGAATTCATGCATTGCACGTGGCAAAAACTAGTTAGAATAAAAAGAGGAAAAAAGTAATTAAAGAGAGAGATATGACAAACTTAAATGTAATAAAGAGTAGGTGGGAAAAAGGTATGGCTCCCTATCAAATTTTGTTTAGGAACATGGTCCATTCTTTACTCTCATTAATGTGTGAAAATGTAAATTTTTTCTTTTGTAACATATTATTTTATTTTAATAATACTTATTTTGAATTTTGAAAACTGTCAATATGTACTCATTAGCTTTATTTAACAAAAATTATACTTGTAATCCTTAGAGAAGTGTCTTAAGAAAATTTCTGGACACTTTATACGGTAGCAGTGCCCAAGATATTGGTTAAGACGCTCTTTTGACCGTGTCAAAGTGTTGGCGAATATTCTATGGTTTATTGTGTTGGACACGACTCCTAATTCCAAGTTGGAGTAACATAGAATAATCTATATGTAGGCAAATATTGCCTTCGTTCTCGAAAGTTCTTTATGGTTACCATTTTTGCACAAATTAATGCAGCTAGTGTGTTGATGTGATGAGTGGGGGTGTAAGTAAAAGGTGATTAGAGTAGGAGGGAGGGTGTAAAAAGAAAGAATGAGTGAAATAGTGTTAACAGAAAACTGGATAAATTGAATGTGTCAAGAACTTTTTGTAAAGAGCGACGTAAAACGGAAAGCGTTAAGAATTTTTAAGAATGGAGGTTGTAAATGACATCTTAAATTTTGACACTAAATCTCCATAAGCAACTGAATAGCATGGTATATTTATGATAGAGAAAATGTATAACAATCTGGTACAAATGATCCTTTTGGTCTACTTCATGGTTTTGTATATAAAAATAATAATAAGATAAGAGTTTCTGACCAGTGCTTTCTGTCAGGTTTGCTCTTGATGTTGATTTTGATGCTCCAAAAGTTAGAGTGCCCATCCGAACGCGGGGCTCATCCAAAATAGACAGTCTCTTTCTTCTTGATTTTGGTCATTTTACCCTAAGGACCAAGGTAAGTGGATCTGATTTGTATGGTTAAGACATGCATATGAACATTATTATTACTTTTGTTGCTTTGCACTCCATGACAAGAGAATAAAGTATTTATTCCTTCCATCTTTTTAATTTTATAGCTTCTTTTTGCCTGAAGATTTTGGATAGTGAAAATGTAGAGAAAGTGGCCAGGAGGAGTTCTATTGTATTTTCTGTTTATTTATTGTTAAGAAAAACTAAATTGGGTTTCTATTGTATTTTCTGATTATTTATTGTTAAGTTGTTGGGAGGGTGACTGTAATAGAGCTGTTGAGGTGGTGTTTCGGCAAGTACTTATATGGCCCTTGAAGGAAAAAAAAATGTTGATTGTATCAAATAAGTATAACTACTATCCTGTCACCTGTGGCTGCTGTCTGATTCATCAAAGAAGAAAGAAATAAAATCTAACAATTATTTGCTACAGGAAGGTCAACATGATGAAGACCAGTCATTATACTCCCGCTTCTATATTTCAGGGAGAGATATCGCTGCTTTCTTTACAGAATGTGGATCTGAAAGCAATAATTGCTCATTATTTGCACCCCATAAGGATAATTATCCCTCTGGAACTCCTGTGGAAGATGTGGACAATAATTCTTCTTTGCTTGATAGATGTGGGATGGCAGTGATCGTTGACCAGGTATAATTTTGTATCTTTTTTCCTAATATATTGATATATCTGGGCTCTAGAAACATGAAAGGACTATCACTATTGTTAGCATTTGATTGCGTCATGATTTTCTTTTGTGTTTCTTAGCTAATTTCCCCTATTCTGCACATGTTAAGATAAAGGTACCGCATCCAAATTTCCCATCGACGCGCATTTCGGTCCAAGTCCCAAATTTGGGGATTCACATCTCACCAGCCAGGTACTCCAGACTTATGGAATTGTTAAACATATTTTATACTACGTTGCAAAGCAGTGGACAGCCTGTGGATGAGATCTCCCAACCTGAACTTGCTCCTTGGAAAGCACCAGATATGGCAGCGGAAGTGAGAATCCTGGTTTGGAAGGTATGCTCATTGCTAACTCTGCCTGTTCATGTATTGGCAATTTGAAACTTAAATTTGTGTTTTCCACTTGCCTAAACTGAATTTATTGCTATTGCATGCATAATGCAGGGAATCGGAAATTCTGTTGCAGCTTGGCAACCTTCTTATGTTGCTTTATCAGGGTTTTATCTATATGTCCTCGAGTCTGAAAGGGCTCCCTTCTACCAACGCTGCACTAGGTCTGCTGTTAGCGTTCTTGATTCATTGCATTGTTTAGTACTTCTTTGATTTTTCATTTTTTTTGGCTATTGTGCATAATTTTTGTCAGTTATAAAGTCCTTATTAGTTAAGGTTTCCATGTATATGTGATATATTTGTCATTTATTAATTTTGTAGCATGGCTGGGAAGCAAGTGTTTGAGGTTCCTCCAGCTAATGTTGGTGGATCACTCTTTTCTATTGCTGTCTGTTTTAGAGGCATGGATATCCAAAAAGTAAGTTAACTTTTTCTTTCGTTTTATGGTTTTATTTGTTTGTTTGTTTTGGATGAAGAATTGTGGAAAGAGAACCCAAGTAGGGTAGGACGATGGGGGATCCAGAGTAGTCTGGTAGTAAAAGCATCACCTCACACCAATTTAATGAAAAACTTTCATAAATATGATTCTTCCTCCTATCAATTAAATCTAGCCAATCTCTTGAGAACATCTGCAGTTGGGATATTCTTTATGTCAAGTCTTTAAACTGCCCATGCAATTAGTATGCTTAGTAGGATATTTAGTCTTATAAGTGTTATTAGCGAGGAAGACCATATAAACATCCATTGAGAAAAATTAGAAAAAGCACTTACAAGGAGCCATTCTTATCTTGCTACAGCATATCTGAAGGCTTTAAGATTGACTCTTAATTTTAATTTGAGTGGGATCACAGGCCATGAAGAGCCTAGAAGTATTAATGTCCCCAAGAAACACCCATTTTAAGATCCATATGTCGCTGGTAACTCTGCACTGGATCTCTTTGTTGTTACCTATTATGCCTTTTGGTTATTGGTCATATTCCATTGGAGTATGTACTAGCCGAATTGTAAAGAATCCTTTACTCAGTAGAATCTCTCTGTTGACAAAGATCTTGAGTGTATGTTGACTTGCATTCTTCTTCGTTTGCTTTCTTGTTGGTAGTTTATAGTTTTGCTTTTACCGTAGGATGAGTAAGAGTCAGCATTGCAACTGGTAGAAAATTAAGGGGGTTGATACAATGGCTAAATGGGTGGGGTTCCCTGGAGAAGAGGGCCAGCAATATTCTCTCCTCAGTTTTATGTGTTTCTTTTATTTTTTTCTTCTGTAAATAACAAAAAAAAAAATAAAATTAGTTTTTTGAGTCCTGAAAAGTTTTTGAAATTAAAAGTCGAAAAAGTGTATATTGAAAAAGCAATGCAAGAAACTTTTTATTAGAACCTTTAAAAATTATACTGGTGAAATTAATTTTGATCATTGTTTATATATTCCTTATTTCATGCTTTTGGTTTTTTTTTGGTCTCTGGATCTTATCATGGATGTTTTCTCATGTTTGAGGATTGATTTCTTTGTATGGCTTTAATTCCTTGGTGTCTTGTTACTTAAATTCCTTATTAACTGACCCTGAAGAAAATATAGAAGAGCTAATGTAAACTCCAAGGAGTTTGTATGAAAGTAGGCCAGGAGCACAAGTTCCAAATTGTCCTGTACTCATGCATGTTATCTCTTTGGCAAATTGTTTTGCTGTTTATGCAATTTAAATTTAAAATATAAGAAGGGACTGTTGCTTAGCCTTGTTATCATACACATCATTCTGCAGGCTCTGGAATCCTCTGGTACATTGATTATAGAGTTTCCGAATGAGGATGAAAAATATGTATGGCTGAAAGGGCTTGTAAAGGCTACATATCAAGCATCTGTAAGATGTTTTTTCTTTCTTTATAAAATTATTTGTTTCCTGCTTAAGTGGTACTAATAATTTTGTTAGTATTCTTTTGTGTCTATTTACATTTCCTATATGTTGACGATTGTTGGTTCATTCAGGCTCCATTATCAGATGGTCTCTATGGAGATACCAGTCACAGTGTAGGTGGTATGGTTGATGCTCAGATTGCTAATTCTAAGGCTGTTGATCTTGTTATTAATGGAACCTTGGTGGAGACCAAATTATTTATATATGGCCAGGTTGTAATTCTTGTCGTTTCAATTTTTCTCCATAATTGTGCCATTAAATATATTGTAGCCTTGTATGTTAGGCATTGTTAGATGCTTCTAGCGTCTTTTCTTTTTCGCTATAGCATGTTTTGTTGTATAGAATTTGTTACTGATCTATTATACATTTTTCTCCATAATTGTGCCATTAAATATATTGTAGCCTTGTATGTTAGGCATTGTTACATGCTTCTTGCGTCTTTTATTTTATTGCTATAGCATGTTTTGTTGTATAGATGTTGTTACTGATCTATTATACATTTTACTACAAAGTTTCATTTTTCCTGCCACCAAATATATTTATATCTGTGACAAGTAACTAAGATTTAATTCAGAAAGACATAAAGGTGGTCCCCCCCCCCCCCCCACCCCCCACCCCAACACACACACACACGCACCTTAAGATGATGTCGAAGCTTGATGTCTTTCTCAATTACTACTTGTCTGCTCATTTCTCAATATAGTTGGGCTTGTTGATCCTTTGTGCAAGACAGAAAGAAAAGTAGAAAGAAGTGGTGGGGGCGGGGGTGGATGGAGAGTTGAAAAGTTAACATGAGTGAATCTTCAACAAGATGCGGCTGTCATGATTTTTCTTTTACTTTTCCCAGAAATGCTATCCCTTTCATCCTAGAATTTTCCCTCACCTTGAAATTTATGAGTTGCATAGCTTACAATGTTGTGTTTCAAATTTTAAAATGGTGAATATGAGTTGCATAACTTACAATGTTTACCGCCATTCATGTCTTGTAAATGATACACTCATCTTTATGATCTGCATTTCCAGTGTGGGGAAGAGGGCCAAGAGAGCCATGAGGAGACCCTCATTGTTGAGCTTACTGCTGGCGGAGGAAAGGTTTTTGTTGCTTTATAGCTTACCATTAATAGTTTATTTATCTTCTCCTTTGATGCCCTTCTCTCATGCCTAGAGGTATACTGCAACGTAATGTTTATTATTACTCAGCATGTATACTTTTAAGCAGTGGTCTGCACTATTGGTGGGGCAACTTAGTTTTTTCCAACAGGAGTGCTGCAGCCTGCTGGCAGTTTTTGATTATTCTCTCTCTCTCTCTCCCCCTTGTTTTTTTAAATTATTATATAGAGCTGGTTATCTGAATTTCATACTATTGCTTTTACAGGTGCATGTTATCCGGTCTGAAGGGAACTTAACAGTCAAGATGAAGCTTCATTCTTTGAGAATTAAGGATGAGTTGCGAAGTCGTTTAGCAACGAATCCTCAGTATCTTGCTTATTCAATTGTGATAAGTGATCAAATACTACCCTCATCTACTAATATTCAAGCAAATCAGTCTTTCTCAGAAGAAGAAGAAATATTTAGAGATGCTTTACCAGAGTTTACTCCTGCACCAGATATTGCTCATAACGTTGAAAGTTTTGTTGCTGATCCTGAGGTTTTGCTTTCTAAAAAGGATTTGGGGAAAGGGAAAGGATCCTCATCAGAAATATTCTATGAGGCTCTTGGTAGTGACAACTCTGATTTTGTCTCAGTTACATTTATGACCAAGGATCCTAGCTCTCCAGAATATGAAGGCATTGACACACAGGTATTCGCCAGAGTTATTTTTCCTTTTTCCTGTGGTGGAGCTAAAAATAACAATGTTCTTTAGATTTTCCCGCTATGGGTCTTCTAACCTACTGTATCCTATATTTTCAGATGAACATATGCATGTCCAAGCTGGAATTCTTTTGTAACAGGCCCACAATTGTTGCTTTAATTCAATTTGGTTTGGATACGAGCTCTGCGAATTTTGAGGGAAGTAGTAAAGGTGCAACCATGGCTTCTGAGGACGTAAAAACTACTAATAAATCGGAAAAGCATGATGATGGTGATGATTTTGTCAAGGGTTTGTTGGGATATGGTAAAGGACGAGTTGTGTTTAAGCTGAGCATGGATGTGGATAGTGTTACTGTGTTTCTGAACCAGGAGGATGGTTCTCAGTTTGCTATGTTCATTCAAGAAAGTTTTATTTTGGATCTCAGGGTATGTTGTCTTTTGTTACTTTTTATGCTATTCCTTTCTGTATATTCTAGCATGATAATTTTCTTCACATTTCCTTTATATTAGAAATCGCGCTTATTTAGTACTTTCATATTCTTTAATGTCAACAATTTTCGCTGAATTAATTTTTACAGAATTCTTATGTTGTGAACGGACCTTAAATATAATGAATGCTTTTAGAAAGGTTCAGTTACCCAGACTAAATCTAGACAACTAATTTTTTGCTAATTCATTATGGTTCGTGCTGTCTCAAGTAGAGTAGCTTGACTTTTTATTACTCATTCCATCCCATCATCCTCAGAGGTGCCTTAGCAGCTCACTTTTTGTCTGTACTTATTTACATTTTGATTTACTTAGTGCTTATAGAATGGATAGTGAGGCTCTTCCATGTGTGTGTTGCTGTAAGCCTGTAACTGTATGATTGTTTTGAATTTCTGTCACAAACTGCCCTTTGAAATCTCCTTTTTAGTGAAGTGTGCTATATATCACGCACTCATGCAGGACCATCATTGTTGCCTGGCTTTTAAAGCTACATTGTATTATTTACTCACAAATTACATGCTTGATTTCAAGGCGAATATCTGCAATTCTGTTCTTGAATAAACTATATGTATGGTTTCATTTAAATCTGCATTCTGCAGTTTTGTTCTAGTAAGCTATGTGACACATCTAGACTTTACTAGGTTCATCCATGTTCTATATCCATTGAGGGCACACTGGGAAATTTGAGGCTGCGTGATATGTCTCTAGGTGTTGAGCACTGTTGGAATTGGCTTTGTGACATTCGCAATCCAGGTGCTGAATCACTTATTAAGGTAAATCTACTGTTTAATTAACTCTACTAATTTTTATCTTCTATATGTTTTTCTAGATTAGTGTTAAGCTTGTATCTTATGCATTATATGTACTATTTTTTTCAGTTTGCATTCAAATCTTACAGTGCTGAAGATGATGATTATGAAGGATATGATTATAGCCTTACTGGTCGTCTATCTGCTGTTCGCATAGTTTTTCTCTACAGGTTTATCCGAGAGGTGAGACTGATTTTGGGTACCTATCCTTACCGGCTATTTTGGGTCAGAATTGCCTGACTGTACTGACACTCTCTTCTAATGTATCTATGTATTGTGAACTATCATCATTCTCATGTCAAAGGTTATGCTTTTAACTTCTCAAACAACTGCAGATAACAGTGTACTTCATGGAACTTGCGACCCCCCATAAAGAGGAAGTCATTAAGTTCGCTGATAAAGTTGGTGGTTTTGAGTGGATGATTCGAAAACATGAGATTGATGGAGCCACAGCTGTGAAGCTGGATCTGTCGTTGGACACTCCTATTATAATTATCCCAAAGCATTCTATGAGCAAAGAGTTAGTACTTATCATATGAGTTTTTTTTTTGGGAAGTTGTGTATGTATAACGTATGCCTTTTATCCATTTGCGATGGTTAGGGTTCAATCACTAAGTCGCTGGAATGGTCTTGGTGTAGAACTTCTTCACACACTAATCTATACTTGTTGGTTTTCCTGAGAAGCAATTTGATGTTAAAATTTAGGAACAAATATGATTAGGGAATTATTTGGTATGACCATTTTAAAGAATGTTTTGAATTTTGGAATCGCTAGGCTATTTTCTTAAAGAATTATTTACTCTACTCCTCAACTAATCCTGCCACACTTTGTAGACAAAGAAAAGATTCATTATTCTTTTGTTCTTCAAAAAGTGCAAAAATACATTGCACAAGGGGGATTTGCTGATCCTTTTCCACATTGACAGTTAATTTAGTAGAGCAAACAACATATTTTCAATTAATTCTCAGCATTCTTTAGATAAAATTGGCAGATGGCTTGGACAGTGATGAGCTCCTGCTTTTGCATTTGCTTGCTTTTGAGCATCAGATCTCTCTCTTTTACATAGTTTATTGTCGCAAGCCAAAATTCAGGTGTTTTGAATAAGAAGAGGGGGGGGGGGGGGTTGGATCTTGTTACTTCGAGCTTTTTGGCTGTTGTATTATGATTAGCTCTTAGGGGTTAGTCAACTGTCATCTATATCCTTGGATGCTGTTCTGCTACCTGGTTTAATTTACTTGTGTTTATCTTGATGGGAGGTTTATGTTTAAGTGATTTAGCCTCTTGCTATATCTTTTTGTCGGTTAGCATTACAGTCAAAGTTCATTATGCATAAGGCGATCAGTTAATAAAAAAGCAATATTTTTAGCAAGGTCCTGATCTACTTTAAAAACAACTTAGCTGTTAATAAATTGAAAATTATATGTGTAAGCATGTAGCCCTAATGGCCTGCTGAGAAGCTAAAACTAGATGCATTAAGGTTTATATATTATTATTATTATTAAACTGATTGCCTTGTGAATTTATCATTTATTCCTAATTAATACATTAGGAATTGTATTGAATGCCTCTACTTGGTGTGTAAGGCAACATATAGTAAATTATTAATAGATTAATATTCTTTACTGATCTTATTGCGCACTTCGTGTTGTAATTTATGAATTGAATTTATAGGTAATTCGCTAAGATGTGTGCTTAAATAGATTGTCCTGTGTGCTTTCGCTAACTTATACTTTGTAAATAGCTTTTCTTATACTGTGATCTTTCTGACCTTTTGTATTATGTCCCATCAAATTAGGTAGTGTCAGATTCCAAATGGTTGCACACAGTGAAATTTGTTTGCAGAACTTATGGCAGTGTCCTTTTGTGTACTTAATGCACACGTAGAGATTTGTTTGCAAAATTTATGGCAGTGTTCTTATGTGTACTTATCATCTTGTACTTTCTGCAGTTTTATGCAGCTTGACTTGGGTCAGCTAAAAATTAGAAATGAATTTAGCTGGCATGGATGTCCTGACAGGGATCCTTCTGCTGTCCACCTTGATGTTCTTCGTGCTGAGGTGAGCTTGCTGTCCTCCTATTCCAAGGGTCAGCATCTTTTACTTTATTGATCTCAATTTGACCTGCAGGTCCTAGGAATCAACCTTTCTGTGGGAATTGATGGTAGCCTTGGAAGACCAATGATGCGTGAAGGTCATGGACTTGTTATTTGTGTCCGTCGCAGTCTAAGGGATGTTTTCCGTAAGGTTCCCACACACTCTATAGAAGTTCAGGTAATATTTACAATTACCTTTTTTTTTCTCTTTCCTATCTGTCTAGCTGATAATATGATATTTCTAAATGGTTGACTGTGCATGGGTTAGGCTTCCAATGGTGAAACCTTACGTGTTTTTGGTTTTTGATACATGACCTGTTGGTAGGTTTGGCCATTGTGCTCCTAAATATTTCTGGAAAGTCTATCAAATGACTTGAATCCCCTTATGTGACATGTCTCACCACTTAAAAATATCATTATGTTCTTGTATGACGATGCTCCTACTTATTGCCTGCTCTCATTGTAGTGTTGATGTCAGTGAAGGGAAGGATTGGTGGGAGTAGGGATTGGCAATAAATATTGAGGTGTGCATATGTTCATGTGGTAGAAAAGAAAGAGAAGTAAAACAGAAGTGCTATGATTGCTGACAATCTTTTGCATATTTTTATAAATAGTTAATCTTATGTTTTGTCCTCTCTCTTTCTTACTACAATTTTTTGACAACAGGTTGATTCATTGCATGGTGTCATGTCAGACAAAGAGTATAATGTTATATTGAACTGTGCTTACACTAATATGAACGAGGAACCAAAACTTCCTCCAAGTTTTCGTGCAAGCAAATCTGATCCTCAGGATACAATGAAACTGCTGGTTGATAGAGTCAATGCGAACAGTCAAAATTTTCTATCCCGTACAGTATCCATTGTGGCTGTAGAAATTAAATATGCTTTACTAGAACTATGCACTGGGATCCATGAAGAATCAACTTTAGCTCATATCAGCGTTAGTATTGAAATTACATGAATTTTTAGAGGATTATGCTCTCTTCTTAATATCCTAACTACTTTGCACATGCTTTTCCTTTTATGATTCCTTCCTATATTTGTTTGCAGTTAGAAGGTCTTTGGGTGTCTTACAGAATGACTTCCTTGTCTGAAGCGGACCTTTATGTCACTATCCCCAAATTCTCTATCGTGGATGTTCGTCCTGATGCAAAGCCTGAAATGCGACTGATGCTTGGATCGTCATCAGATGTCGGAAAACAGGTTTCTGCTTCGGGAAGTGCTTCGTCTATCATTGATAGAAATTATATGAGAACTCAGTCTAGAGATTCTTCTGCCCTTGAAATGCCAACGTCAACAATGTTTTTGTTAGACTATCGATGGAGAGCATCATCCCAATCTTCAGTGGTGCGGGTACAACAACCAAGAATATTGGTTGTACCGGATTTCCTTATTGCTGTTGCAGAATTTTTTGTTCCATCTGTAGGAAGTATAACTGGAAGGGAGGAATCGATGGATCCAAATAATGATCCGATCCGCAAAAGCCACAGCATTGTACTTCAATCTGCTGTCTACAGGCAGCAAGAAGAGGTTATTCAACTGTCTTCAAGTCGACAATTGATTGCAGATGCTCCAGGGATTGAGGACTATGTCTATGATGGTTGTGGGAGGACGATATGTTTGAAGGAGGACACTGATATGAAGGAAAGTCAGTTTCCAAGATTTCAGCCTATAATTGTTATTGGTTGTGGAAAGCGATTGCGGTTTGTGAATGTGAAAATCGAGGTACTGTAAGATCTGTATTTTGTTTATTTATTTTATCCGAAGACAGGATGTGCTATGAAATATTTAGTAAGTGATTGTTTGTCCTTTTGTGTGTTGTAGCTACCCTAATCTGTGACTAGCTTGCCCTTTTATACTTGGATGACACCTCATTAATGCCCTTTGTTCATTTTTTTCACAATGAAAGAAGTCAATTCATATTTTTCCTGTTCATTTTTTTGAACTGAAGGTGCAATTTTTTGCTTGCTCATTTCTTGTAGTCAAGACTCATATTGTTTAACTATTCTATTCACCTTTTCTAATGTTAGGTTTATTATTACAACTCTAGGTCAATTTTCAGGTTCATTATCTTAAATCTAGGTCACTTTTATTTGAGTTTTAGGCTTGTTTGCTTTTGAGCTGAAGGTTTTGTATTACGCAATTTTTTTTTTCCTGAACTAGCGTTGCATGTTAAATTTTGTTTGTTGGATAATGTCCTTTTTTTTTTTAAATTGGGAAATATCATTTTTTGTGGAATTTAAAATTGAGCTATTTAAACCGAAGTTTCATGGATAGCAGTTTTGAGAGAGTGACTGAACGTTTCATTGTCTTATTGTTAGAGAAAGCTAACTGCTTCATTAAAATTTTGAATTATCAGAATGGGTCACTCTTGAGGAATTATACGTATTTGAGCAATGACAGCAGCTATTCAGCATCTCCAGAGGATGGTGTTGATATTAAGTTTCTTGAAAGTAATATATCTGATGAGAGTAATGATCTACAGAATGATAGTGGATTATCTTACATATCATACTCTTCAAGCGGACGAGATGATGGATCGAAGTCTATCCAAAGCTTTACCTTTGAGGCTCAGGTAAGATTTCTGCTTTCTGATGCTTGTGTATGCATGCTGCTTCTTGCATCTTTCTGTTCTATTTTCCCTGGACAGTTCTTGTCTAGCCTAGTAGCCTCAGTTTTACTGTATGGGATTTTCATGATTTCTCTGCTATTGTTATGCTCTGATGTCTGAAGCTTACAAAGTGATCTTTGATGATTTTACTTGGCATTTAGCTTTATCTGTTAAAATAAGAGCGTTGATATTCTGATTTGGGCTGATGTATAGATTAAAGTTTCTCTTCATATCAATGGCTAATGACTTGTGTTTCTATGTGGTTAACTGGGTTGTCTTTACTCATAAGCATTGATTTTAAACTTCTGTTAGGCTGTACTGTACATTTTTAATACTTCCTCCAGTCCCTTTTAGTTAGTTTCTGTCACTTCTTGCACACATAACTAGGAGGAGAGGGTATAAATTTGGCTGTATGCTGGTGGAAGTTTGATATAGAGTACTTATATCTTAGATCCATTTATATGCATGTGGGACCGTGGGTACTTTGTCTTGGGTAGGTAAGGGTAAACAGTAAAAATTTATTACCTATGATGGAAGAGAGATGGAATTCAACCAACTTAATGGAAGAAATGAAAATGGAATTGTAGCCATAACAAAGCCTTGGTCCCAAAATGATTTGGGGTCGGCTAACATAAATCGCCATAAGGAGCCGTCCAAAAAAGGGCCAATTAAATGAACGGCATGGAGCTTATTTTCATCCAGCTGTCCAATCATTTCATCATGATACATGCATTTCATGGGGTGCATTATGTTGTAATATGGAGAGTGGCGGATCAAGGATTTGGGTAATGGGGTACGAAATTAAGTTAAATAAAAAAATTACAAAATACAAAGTAATATGTGGAGCGTAAGCGTAATAATTATTTCTTAAGTAAATTTTGAGTTAATAAACCATTTAACTATTGTATTAGTATTTGCGTGTAATATACACCCTATATTTCGACAACAAGGCTTATAATTGAGTAACGAAATATCTTCTTAAAAAGAGATTGTCTAAGCAACCTGTTAGGTACCAATAGATCTCTTTGATCAAAAATACAAATTGGAAAAATACACAATATCACCTAAGAGACCTGTTATTGTAACAACAGGTTTCTTTGTTCAATAGCACTATTGTGGAATATATAACATCTAAGAGACTGCCTGAGACCAGTTTTTAAATAGGCGGTCTCTTAGAATTTAATACTTGTACAAAAAAGGCGCGCTGATTAGGATGTTGTGGTAGACTACTGATAACATTACCTAAGAGACCGCCTATTAGGTATAGGTGGTCTCTTTTTGTATCTTTTTTTTTTTTTTTTTTTTTTTTTTTCGCGGAATGGGTTTACAGTTGTAACTCTATGTACCCCCTAGATCCGCACTGAATATGGAAAGTCCTTATAATGTTGCTGGTATTAATTTGAAATTATTGTTGTTTTATGTGTAGGTTGTCTCTCCAGAACTGACTTTTTATGATGGAACTAAGTCATCTCTAGATGATTCCCCATATAGCGAGAAGCTAGTTCGAGCCAAGTTTGATCTAAGCTTTATGTGAGTGCCTTTTATTTATATTATTTTTGTTATGCTTCGTTCTTTATCATAAAGATGCATTGTTGAATTGTCAACAAGCGTGTTTTACGATACGTTGCATGAATGTATTTTCGTGTACGCTGAAGCATCACATCTGTTATGATTATTTGGGTTATATCACAAATTTTGAGTGCAAATTTTCCCTGATTTTTGTTATGTGCTTTTCCCATCTTTCATTTGGCCGTTTTCCTGCTCATAAAAGGATCAAAGGCCCCACCAAACGTTTGAGCTCAAATATAGCAACAAGAAATAATAGGTCAAAGAACCCTTGATTGAACTGGATGAAAGCGCACTGAAGTCAATGTAATGTGTAGCATCTGTTGGCTTGTTGCACATAATGTGTAGCATATGTTTTTAGTAAATGTTGTGCATTGAAATTATGCAAAAAGGTAAATATGTGTCAGTTAAAAAAATAAAAATAAAGAGTATGCTAGACATGAATAACATTAAGTTTCAGCTATATTTGACAATGACTTCTATGAGGGTCAATAGTTGTGGCAAATTATATGCACGTGGGTAATACTATGAGCTAACACCCAATGGCGAACCACTACCATATTATAAAAAAATATTGGGTCCTGCTATCTTTTTTTCCCTGCTCTATATGTTGGTGACTTTACTGGATAAGGCAATGGTATACCGAAGGGATCTAATTGTGGATCTGCCCTGGAATTGGTATAGGTATTGGCCTAATACAGCTATATGTTATATTAAACCTCAATACCTTTCTCTTATGTCTTAAAGAGTCTAGGAGAGAAGAATCATTCTTTTGAGAGGACCATCATCAACAAATCCATAAGTTTACAGTAGCTTTGCCTTTAGATCTCCATAAGTTTGTTAGCACAGCCTCCTCTTTGGTCAATAAGTAACAAATGGTTCATTGAAATTTTTTCGGACTTCATTACTAGCTGGTGGTGCTCTCCATTTTCAAGACTCGTCTTTCCTCATCTTTGGTCGGTCATTATCATGAACGATGTTTTGCTAATATGTTTGTATCAAATAGAAGCAACATATATCTTCATCCTTTCATTTCTTTTTTCCTTTGGCCTATTTTTAAGAACTAATTATTAATTTTGTTTTCATCTCTCTTTGACATTTTTTATGGATAAATTATTCTAATCATATAGATATCGATTTGCTCAGGTATGCGTCACAGGAAGATGGTACATGGATCCGTGCACTTCTGAAGGACTTAACCATTGAGGCTGGATCAGGACTTGTTGTTCTTAGTCCTGTGGATGTTTTAGGAGGTTACACCTCTGTGAAAGAAAAAACCAATATATCTCTCTCCTCCACGGATTTGCACCTACATCTTTCTCTTAGTATCATATCACTCTTACTTAACCTCCAAACTCAGGTGTCTAGTGCACTGCAGTTTGGAGATGCTAATCCTCTGGCATCCTGCACTAACTTTGAACGTATATGGGTGTCACCCAAAGGTAACTAATCCCAGGATATAAATCCTCCTTACTTTCAAATATGTTCTATGTCAACTGTCAACATTTTAGCTAGTTAGGGGGTCACACTTATTCTTTACCTGAGTTTGTTTCTTGTATTTACAGAAAATGGACCTCAGTGCAACCTAACATTTTGGAGGCCTCGTGCTCCTTCAAATTATGTAATTCTAGGAGATTGTGTCACATCAAGGTAATAACAAGAATTGATCTGTGTTTGAGGCATTGCACATGATTCATTCATATCTTTATAGCACAATCAGAAGTGTCCCTTATGTATTTGTGTTTGGTGACTTCTAAGTGTTTTAAGTCTTCATTTATTCTTGTTGATGACTACCTAACTTTCCTTGTGAAAGAGTTATGTGATCCCTTTAATTCTTTTTTTTTTCTTTTCTTTTTTAATAATTTTCTCTCACTCTGTGTTATAATTCTTATTACACATTCTACTGTATTTGTAACAGTTGTTTCCTTAAACAGGTAAAGCAACATCATGATATAATTCTCTGGTTCCATTCGCCTGACTTTTTAATATTGTTTCCTATTCTTCTAAACCTTTTGACTTTTTTTTTATGTCCTTTGACTGCTATTATGCTGTACACTCATAAATTTTTTGTGAAGCTTTTAACAATTGATGCTTTTTTCACTTTAACTGTACAAGCTAAGAGATACACGCTATGCGTGTACAGTATAAGAAAAAACAAATTAACCGACGCCCGCCATCATCCTGGAATGACCAGCAATTTTTGAAACTGTGCATATAGACTAAATATATACTAAAACCATGAGAACGAAAAAAAAAAAAAAAAAAAACATCAATGAGCAAAATTAGGAGTAGTTTTCTTATTCTTAAAAAAAAAAAATCAAGAGCAATTTTTTTTTTTTTTTCCTTTCTATGGGGAATACAATTGAAGATATAAATTTACGTGGAAAAAAGGGAGTGGTTATTATAAGGTAGTTATGATAGGACAATTGTAAATAAGAGAGGTAGTTTTGCAACTTGAGAGGAATAATTTGGAAATAGTGGAATTTATCACTTAAAAGACCCTTTCACTTTATATATAGGATATGATTAACAATTTGGGACTGTTGTTATTGTATAAGATTAACATGCACGGGGCTTCTTTACTCCTCACCTGATGGGTGTGGAGGGACTTAAAGCAATTGTGATGTTAAACTGTTTATTTTAAATGCTGTGCATCCCTAATGATCGTAAAACTGTTTGTGCCTTTTCAGGTCTATTCCTCCTTCACAGGCAATGATGGCAGTTTATAATACTTACGGACGTGTAAGGAAACCATTGGGTTTCAAATTGATTGGATTGCTTTCTGAAATTTTAGAAATCGATAAAACTGAACAGAGTGCAGGTGCAAAAAGTGAGTGTTCTCTGTGGTTTCCAATCGCCCCACCAGGATACACAGCCTTAGGTTGTGCAGTTAATGTTGGAGATCAACCCCCACCAAATCACGTTGTTCACTGCATACGAGCTGATCTTGTAACATCAACTTCATATTCAGAATGTTTGTTAAACCTGCCATCCAATTCGTGTTTCCCATCTGGTTTTAGCATTTGGCGTCTAGATAATATTCTTGGCTCCTTTTATTCTCATCCTTCTGCTGACTGTCCTTCCAAACAATTCTGCTATGACCTGATCCCTTGTCTTAAATGGAGGGCTTACCGGCATCATTCTTCTTATTCGAAGCCTGCCTCAAAGCTCTGCCATGAAGATGAACCAGCAGTTTCTCAGGGAAGCAAGCAAAATTCAAGTTCCAGTGGATGGGACATCCTTAGATCTCGAGTTTCACACAAATGTTTCATGTCTGTCCCGAATTTTGAAAGGATCTGGTGGGACAAAGGTGGAGAATTTAGACGGACAGTTTCAATATGGAGGCCTATACCTCGGCCTGGTTATGCCATTTTGGGTGATTGCATAACAGATGGGTCTGGTTCTCTTATCTCCATTTGCTATTTTTGTCAATCATAGCATAGGTGTTCAACTAATCAAATACTTATCTTTTCAGGTTAGAGCCACCTACACTTGGCATTATTTTCTTGGCTGATAATCCAGAAATCTCCGCAAAGCCTGTAAAATTCACAAAAGTTGCTCAGATTTTTGGGAAAGGTGTGGATGAAGCTTTCTTCTGGTATCCAGTTGCTCCCCCAGGTTATGCTGCTATGGGATGCATTGTTACTAGAACAGATGAGCCACCAAGAGTTGAATCATTTTGCTGTCCTAGAATTGATCTTGTTGGCCCAGCCAGTATTATTGAGGTGCCTGTTGCTAGATCTTCAAGTTTAAAAGCATCTCAGTGCTGGAGTATATGGAAAGTTGATAATCAGGTTTGATTATATTGTTTAAATTTATTTATTATTTTTTTCTAATTGTGTTGATGTGTGAATTTGCATATGGTGCTGAATCACTTTAGATTGATTATTATCCCTTTTTACTGGTTAGGCTTCTACATTCTTGGCACGTTCTGATTTGAAAAAGCCATCAAGTCGCTTGGCACTCTCAATTGGAGATTCTGTGAAGCCAAAGGTACGAGAAAATGTGACATCTGAGATGAAGCTAGGGTGTTTATCCGTTACTATTCTTGATAGCTTGGGCGGAATGGTAAGTTGACACAAATGCTTTGAAGCACTAATTTATCATTTTTGCTTTTTCATGTTTATGCATTCTGATATTCTTTGACAATTGCCTTTCAGATGACACCTTTTTTTGACGCGACCTTCAACAATATTAAGCTTGTAGCCCATGGCCGATTTGAAGTTATGAGTTCAGTACTTATCTGTTCAATGGCTGCATCAACTTTTAATACACAGTTAGAGGCCTGGGAACCATTTTTGGAGCCATTTGAAGGAATTTTCAAGTAATACTTTGTGGCTTAAATACTTTGATCGACTCATGTGGACATAATATTCGAATTGTTGTGGTCAATTGAAATCCATTATTCTTTTTTTCCCTTGACGCTTCTGATCTCTTATTCTATCTAAACCCAAATTTGAAGCTGATATTTGTTTTCTATTCCTTGGAGGTTTGACACTTATGATACCAGTACTCATCAAACTCCGGGACTTGGGAAGACACTGCGCATCGCTGCTACCACTATCTTAAACCTAAATATCAGTGCTGCCAACCTTGATTCTTTTGCAGAGGCCGTTGTTTCTTGGAAAAGGCAGAGAGAAGTTGAGCTTAGAGCAGAGAAGTTGAATGAGGTAATTTAAAAGCTGGAGATTATGTTTATTATGGCTGTTAGTAGAAGTCTTATGCTTAGCAACTTGCAGGAATCAGTTCTTCTTCATCAGAGAGGTGAAGATGGTTTATCTCTTTCTGCATTAGATGAAGATGATCTTAAGACTATAGTTGTGGAAAATAAGCTTGGGTGTGATATTTATATCAAGAAGCTTGAGCAGAACTCCAATACAGTTGAAGTTTTACATGATAATAGATCCACTGCAGTCTGGCTTCCACCTCCTCGGCTTTCTGATAAATTAAATGTCACTGACAAAAATGGGGAATCGCGCTATTACATTGCTGTCAGAGTATTAGAAGCAAAGGTGTGATAGTCTTATAAAAATTTAATCTGAGATACTATTATAAGTTAATAACTGCCTTTGTGTGGTTGCCCAGCCTCTGAAGGAAAGACCTGACTTCTTTATGAAATAATGCAGGATATACCCATTGTTGATGATGGCAATAGCCATAACTTTTTCTGTGCTCTGCGTCTTGTTGTGGACAACCCACCAACTGATCAACAGAAGTTCTTCCCTCAGAGTGCGCGGACTAAATGTGTTAGACCGTTCATAACAAAAGCTCTTGATGCTGATCTGGGCACTGCCAAGTGGGATGAGCTTTTCATATTTGAAGTTCCTCAAAAGGTATCTCTATGCATATTCTCATTGCTCATGTTAGGGATGGTGTTAAATTCTCTATGAAACTTTGGAAATGCTGAGGGGTAAGTACTCATCCGGAATATTTTGCATATGGAATCACAAAAAATATGTATGAAACAAATTTGAAACTGAAATCAATGTCAACAAAGATTTTTAGACAGTCAAAATCATATTGGATGCTCCTCAAAATAAAACATCCAGAAATTCATACCAACATTCGCAAAAGTTGTGTGTGTCAATTATGCCGAATATCACTTAAGCAAAACACTCCCAAATACCACTCTATCCTAATTAACGTCACTACTTGATTTTCTTCTTCTGAAATTTAAACCATTCCTTATCATCCACAAACGCCCAAGGGATATTGCAAACTTTCAGATTTAGGGTCCCGTTAAATCTTGATCTATTTATTGAAGCATCATTTGAAAGAAAATGTGTACTAAATGGTGAGTGCTTTTCTCAACTAGTGTGGAAATTTTGGCTCTTAAGGTCGTTAAGCATGTTGTGAGCAAGAGCGAAGACCAAGGATGTTGACTGAAAATAGTTAGGAGGGATGATTTAATGTGAGAGAGAAACCCCCTCTCTCTTGAGAGAGAGAGAGAGAGAGAGAGAGAAATCTTTCTCTCTCTCTTTCACACACACACACACACACACACACACACACACACACACACACATGTGTTTATCTGGTAGGCTGTCAAATGAATTAAACTGTTTGTTCTATCATCAAATAATTTACAACTTGACTCTCCTGTCAAATGAATTAAACTGTTTGTTCTATCATCAAATAATTTACAACTTGACTCTCCTGTGTTACAATGCTCATAAAAGATCTTTACTTTATTTGACATGCTTCCCTTCTATTGCTCACAAATATACCTTTTTTGTTTTATAATTTATCTTGCAATTTGACAGGGTACTGCTAAACTGGAAGCAGAAGTCACCAACCTTGCTGCTAAAGCCGGGAAAGGTATGCATTACTTCTATTGTAGCTGTTTTTATTCATCTTTAGAAGTTTGTTGGTTGTGATATCAGGATTGTATATTTGCTTAAGCTGTTACCAATTGCTTTAGTTTGTTCAGTGCCAGGTGGACGTTGAGATGGTGATAGTTGATATAATATTATTTGCGTATGTGTGTCATGGGGAAGAGGGAGGGGGGGGGGGGAGGAAAGAGGGGAGAGGAGTCCTCTATGGAGTTACTTAGGTATCTTGTGTGTGTTCATCCTTTGGGCTAATAGGAATCCATTTGCATAGGGTTTTTTTTAGATTTCATGTCACATTTCTCTACTAGTGTTTAGCTGCTTAGTTGAACATGAAGACTGATTGCAAAGGTTTAAATATGCCTTGTATTTAAGATGTTTAGCTAATATGCTACTATATAGTATCAACTATATAGTGATAATTGACTATGAGTGGGAGGCACCCCCTTGACTCAATGAAAAAAGTATACTTGCTAGAATAAAGGGTTTATGGTTCTATAACTTTTATCATCTTTTTTAAATCATAGTTGCTTGGTTTCACATGTATGATAAAAATTAAAATAAAGCCTAGTGGTCTAAGTGGAGGTGATTTACCTTATATCTGAACCAATGTTACAAGGTACGGGGTACGATTCGAAACGTGGTACGAAAACGAATACACGGAACGTTGCCCTTTGGTGATTCCGGTACAATGGGTACGATTTCATAATAAATATGGAGTATATATGAATGAAATACAAAGAAGTATATACTTGTATTTTGAAAAATTAAAAATATTTTCTTGCCCTTGGGTCAATTGTATCTGATATTTTTTAATTACCAAGGGTAAGTAAAACTGTAAAAGAGTGGGTGTCATAAAAACAAAGAGGAAACTAATAGAGTGTGGGGTCCAATTGTCTATATTTAATTTAAGCAATTCAATTTTCTGACTTCTCTCCTACTTTTCACTTAATTTATTAGTTAAAAAAAAGTAGTATCCAATGTACTGATTTCTCTCTCCTCTCTCCTATGTTTGTCTTCAACCTTTATTCTCCACCATTTTTGAAGCTTCAACACTCGAGCTTTGAGCTGTCAATAACCTTTAACCCTAAAAACGCAAAAGCATAGCCTCAGTCTTTGAAATCGAAATCGGGTCGTCAATTTCAAGATCCGAGTCGCGACCACAAGCGACCTGAACCAACGAACCAGGTCGCAATTCGGGCCTCCGTACAGCAAACCTTGTAACACTGATCTGAACTAAATAAGTATCCATGTACACCACTTGGTCTAAGAGAATAACCTGTGACATGACCTCGTGTTTCATTGCTGTTCATGAATCATGACAGATCAACAAACTAGACATTAAGTGTAGGTTCTTTTGACTCATCAGACTTGTGTGAATCTGGACTGCTATAGGCATTTTTTGATTATATATAATTGGGAAATTTATATAGCTAGATCTAGTTTCTTTTGTGGAAAATGTTATAAAAGTTAATTCCCTGGTTTAATCATTGGACACAGGCGAAGTTGTTGGAGCATCATCCTTTCCTGCTGGACATGGCTCAAGTACTCTTACTAAGATAGCGTCATCAAGGATGTTGCATCAGCAAAATGCTTTTAAAAATATCGTGTCACATCCACTGAGGAGAAGGGTCAGTATAACATACTTTGATTTTGTACATGCTTATTATCATTATTATATATCATAATATCTTATTCCTTCATTAGGATCAGGAAGAAAATGAGGGAGGCGTGATGAATATTGGCTCTCTGCTGGTTTCTACATCTTATTTTGAGCGAAAATTAGTTGTAGATTTACAGAAGGATACGACTAACAATAATGAAGTTGACTCTGATGTGGGTTTCTGGATTGCACTTCGCCCTGATGGCCCTTGGGAGAGCTCTCGGTCTGTTCTTCCATTATCAGTTTTTCCAAAAAGTTTGGAGGGAAATCTTCTTGCTATGGAAGTTATCACAAGAAATGGGAAGAAGCATGCCATTTTTAGAGGTCTTGCAACTGTTGTCAATGAGACCAATGTTAAGTTAGACTTGTCTCTGTGCCCTTTATCTATGATTGATTCAAGGACAAGAGATATTCGTCTTGGAATGGAGAATATTGTAACACTAGATCCTGGATCAAACTATATTCTACCTTGGAGATGCATATCTAAGGATTCTGAAGATTGTCTCCGTGTTCGTCCTTATGTTGATTTGTCTGGCTCATCTTACTCTTGGGGTCTTACATCTAGTCTAGGCTTCCCCTTAACAGGCGGAAAAGAGCAACACCCTACAGAACAGGGTCTGCTCTCTAGGCAGAGTACAATGAAGCTGAATGAACTTGAGAAAAAGGATGTCTTATTATGTTGCATACCCAGCACCCAAAATCAACAGTTTTGGCTTAGTGTTGGTATAGATGCATCAATTCATCATACAGAGTTGAATGCACCTGTTTATGATTGGAAGATTTCCATAAATTCCCCACTAAAGTTGGAGAATCGACTTCCTTGTCCAGCTGAATTCTCAATTTGGCAGAGGAAGAAAGATGGAAAAGGTATTGAGCTACAGCAGAGTAAAATTTATTCCAGAAAAAGTGCGAATATAAATGCTGCAGATCTCAGGAAACCCGTATATCTTTCCTTGTTTGTTCAGGGTGGTTGGACTATGGAGAAGGTATGTAGCTCACTAGTTGGTATTTTATAAACCATGTCAGTAGATATTAGCAGGCTCTTTTACCCCTCTGTTTTTTTATGACAAGCTACTATTTCCTTATCAGGAATCTGTTGTCATCTTGGATCTCTCATCTGATGATATTGTTTCCTCGTTCTGGATGGTTCAGCAGCACACTAAAAGGTGTTTTTACCTTTTTTTTTTTTTTGTCTGTAATAAATTAATTCAAACTCTCATGGAGGAAGGGGAGGGGCGGGGGGGGGGGGGGGTGGGAAAGTTTGGAGCTGTGTCTGGAAACTGTTTTAGTTCTGGAGCGTGGTTTTCCCTGTTCACTGAAATGCTAAAATGTTAGTATGCTGTTGATTAGCTCATCTCTACTCTAGTCTAAATTTTAGGAATAAAGAGGGGCAGTAGACTATGTTGGATATGTTTCTCTTGCCACCAAACTTCAGCTTCGTATGGAAATATCTATTCTGAATTTCTGTGATACTTGGACTCAGCTCACAACCTCACGTACCAGTGCTGACACTCTATGACCTGGGTGCGGATATGGGATCCGTGTTGGACTTTTGGGAGAGAGAGTGGTATTAGCACTCAGAAACCATACATCTAACATAGAAGTTTGGATCCTCTATAACAAGAGCCAAGACACTGTGGTTTTTGTGTGGAAGAATAACATGAGCAGACTGGTCCCACTAACCCTGCTGGTATTCTTCTCCGGTGATGGGAAAGCTGGTCCACCTTTGACAACTTCCCGACTCAGATCTGCGTATCTACTTTTGCCCCCTTTTTTATGTTTTGAATGTGGAGTGGGGATAAATTCGCGTGATTGACTGTTTACTTCTCTATCTAATTTTTGTTTTCTTTCGTTTTTACCTTTTTCAAGATTTGAACAGTAATATTTTTTTTTTTTTTTTTTTTTTTTTTTTTTTTTTTTTTTTTTATCTTTTTCAATATTTTGAATAGTAAATGAATTTCCTGAGTATGATCCATATCTGATTACCACACCTGGACCCGAACATCCTAGCTGAATTTCCACATGAGCTAAAACTGCTTTGCGTAAATTCCACGTGTAATTACATTCTCCTATCTAAAATGATCTCCCTCTATATCTATGAAGAGAAATAATTACATGTAAGGTGCTTGTTTATTCCGCTTGCTGTTACTCTGGATCTTATCATTTTGTGTATTCTTATGGATTTACAGGAGGCTGCGTGTAAGCATTGAGCGTGACTTGGGAGGCACCAGTGCTGCACCCAAAACCATCAGATTGTTTATCCCTTACTGGATTGTTAATGATTCTTCTCTGCCTCTGGCATATCGGATGGTGGAGATTGAGCCTCTTGATAATGGAGACAGTAGCATTTTTAAATCTGCAAAATATTCAGCCCCCAGGAAGAATGTTCAGGTCTTGGATGTGATCGGGGATACTAGCTCGGTACCCAGCATGCTCTCCCCCCAAGATTATGTTGGACGTGGAAATGTTCATCTCTTCACATCTCGTAATGATACATATTTGTCACCTAAAGTCGGGATTGCTCTAGCTATTTTTGATTCTGAGAACTACAGTCCGGGTATTTCACTTGTCGAGCTTGAGAAAAAGGTAGTGGGTTTAGGATCCTTTGTGCTTTTTCAGTGGAAGTTATTTTTTATTTTCCTCATTTCTGTGAAAGGCATCACACGAAGCCGCACTAATGATGTAATATTGTGAAATCAGGGGCGGGTCGATGTTACAGCCTTTTGCTCGGAGGGATCTTACTATAAGTTTTCAGCACAGCTGAACATGACTTCAGATAGAACAAAGGTAAGACTTCTGTGTTTGAAGATGGTCTTTTTATGTTGAGCCAGCAAGAAGCGTAAATTTTTAATCATCGTGATTATTTTGATTAAGGGCTCTTTTTGACGTGTTCTTGAGGAAGTTATTGATATTAATCATACCTAGGCTTGTTAAGTCAGGTTTGGTCACTTGGATAGGTCATCTTTGAGTTCAGATTGTTGTAGGTCAAGTAGGATTGAGTCACGAGATGAATAGTGCTTACCCTGACCCTGAACTTTTGGGTTTGGGTTGGTCTTACGGATTAGAGGCATTTTGAACTTTGTTTAATACAATAAAGCAAATAACTGATCTGCTACTTCATTTCATATTTCATAGTTTCTTACTTTCTTGAGAGTAGTAAGCAAATGTATGTTTAATGCTGTAATAATGTTGATATCAATATAAGATGCTATTTCTTATTCAAGTTGAATGATTAAGTATTTTGTTAATCTGTATATTTTTCACTTATTTTCTTGCTCTGTGTTGACCCAACATTTTTTTTTATCAAAGTGTATTATCTCTCTGTAGTTCTTTTGGTGTTGTTGACTTTGCCTATTTGATTCTCCTTCAAAAGTTTGTGTTGCAAATAATGATATGTGAATTTGAAACTTTCAGGTTATTCGTTTCCAGCCACACACATTGTATATAAATAGAGTTGGTTTTAGTGTGTATATTCAGCAGTGTCATGCTCCATTTGTGGACCACATTTGCCCCACAGATCCTCCAAAAGCCATTAGATGGCACTCATCTTCTAAAGTTGAAATGTTAAAGGTATAGAAAGTAGATTTATCTTCATTATGTGAAGATGACTTCTAAACATCATTATTTGTCTTTGCCCTAAGGTTATTGACACTCACTGTTTGCTTCAGCTGCGGGTGGATGGCTATAAGTGGAGCAGACCATTTAGTGTTGGGTCTGAAGGAATGATGTCCATTGTTCTGGAAAGTGACACAGGCAGCAAGGAGTTGATTTTAAGGGTAGCTGTGAGAAGTGGCACTGGAAATTCGCGTTATGAAGTTATTTTCCGTCCAAATTCACTGTCTAGTCCATACAGGTATGTTTTTGTTCCAGTTTCAGGTATAATTATCATATCTGAATCCTGGATCATGACTACAATTATGAAAATAGTGTCTTCATCTGTTCCATTTTGGCTTATGAGCATCAGCTATTGTTGAGAACTTGAGATTAAAGTAAGTACTGTACTATTTTAGGATGCTGCAATAATTTTTTGGCCTTTCTATGCGCAATTCTTGGTTTAAAAATCTGAATAACCGTGATATTTGGGGAATTTCGAATTTGATCCATCTCAATTTATTATAAAAACTTAAGAATTAGGAGTTTTACTTTGAATTGAATGATGGAAGTCATATTGTATTGTGAATTTCACTTGTGAAGGTATTGAACTATTGCAACTTGTGACCTTCCTTGCCAGTGTATTGCTCTCAGTATTATATGCGTGTATATCATTTTTGTTCCTGGTATTTATGGGCGTAAGTGACTAATAGCTGTCTCTTGCCAGGATTGAGAATCGTTCTATGTTTTTCCCCATTCACTTCCGCCAAGTTGATGGAACTAGTGATTCGTGGAGGTGCCTTCCTCCAAATGCAGCCGCTTCATATCTATGGGAAGATGTTGGAAGGCGGCGTTTGTTAGAGTTATTTGTAGATGGATCTGATCCACAGAGGGCAGTGAAATACAATATAGATGAGGTATTTGATCACCAGCCCATGAATGTTGGAGACGGACCAACTAGAGCTATACGTGTGGCCATTGTTAAAGAAGAGAAGATGAATGTGGTTAAACTTAGTGATTGGATGCCTCAAGATGATCCTGCACCAGGTGTGCAGAAAAGAATTCCATCATCTGTATCACCCCTTCCCAGTGCTGAACCTGAGTATGAGTATCCTTCATCTACCTCGAGTGCCGAATTCCATGTAGTTGTTGAGCTTTCAGAGCTTGGTTTGTCTGTTGTTGACCATACACCAGAAGAAATTCTTTATTTGTCAGTTCAGAATCTTCTTCTGTCACATTCTACTGGCTTAGGCTCTGGGACTAGTAGGTAGGTCATAATGCACTTGATTGCTTACTGTCATACATACATACATACATATATATATATACATACATATATATATATATATACATATATATATATATATATATACATATATATATATATATACATATACATATACATATACATATACATATACATATACATATACATATACATATACATATACATATACATATACATATACATATACATATACATATACATATACATATACATATACATATACATATACATATACATATACATATACATATACATATACATATACATATACATATACATATATATATATATATATACATATACATATATATATATATATATATATATATATATATATATATATATATATATATATATATATATATATATATCCTTTACAATAATATTTTGAATATTTCTAACTGAGTCGCACCCTCTGTTTTTCTCCTGGGATTATTATCAAGAGGACGGGTTAAGTAGTCCATTGTTTTGATGTAAAGAAAGCTTTTCAGAATAGGATCAAATTTCAAATTGATTGTCTTTAAGTAGTTGTCCTCCTTTCCATTTTGGTTTATTTCAACTGTATAGTTTTATTCATTATGTTTTTGTATATTTAATGCATTAATTTACCACACTTAAAAGTTATTTTCTAATTTCCTTGATTTCTTTATGAAAAGTGTAGAGCACTAACACATGGTTACTTTTATCAAGTCAATTTGGACAGTAATATTTACTGTCTTTCTTTATCCATGTGTTTGGTCATTAGCATTATATGTATGGGATGAAGTACATATTATATTTGCAGTTGAACTTTTTTGTACGAGTATTTTCCTAGAAATATGCTATGTCTTAGTTTGATTAAGCTTAGTTCATAGGTCATTGGTACTGTGTTATGTTGTAGTTTGATTAAGCTTAGCTCTTGTGATTGTTCAATGTATTGTTGTTTTTGTGATCTAAATTGCTTTTTAATTTGCACCAATAATAGTTGCATTATTGATGACCACTGATTGAGCTTGGGCATTGTCTTTTCATTGCAGATTTAAATTGAAAATGCGTGGACTTCAAGTGGACAATCAGCTCCCATTGGCTCCCATGCCAGTTCTTTTTAGACCGCAGAAGGTCAAAGAGGAGATTGACTATATCTTAAAATTCTCTGTGACATCACAATCAAATGGGTCACTAGATTTGTGTGTCTATCCTTATATAGGATTCCATGTAATTCTTCAATCTATATTCTTTTTTCCTTTTAAAAACCCCTAATATGCTAAGATTCTGTTTTCCTTTTTCCCCATTTATATGGGTTTGGGGGGGGGGGGGGAGTTCTTTTTTTCCTTGTGATCAATCTTTTGGAATTGATTGTCATCTTATGATTTGGAACAGGGATGTGACAACTCTACATTTTTAATAAATGTTCACGAGCCAATCATATGGCGCCTTCATGAGATGATTCAACAGATTAACCTGAATAGGATAAATGCTGCAAAGACAAATGCTGTTTCCATTGATCCAATCATCCAAATTGGGTATGAGAAGTTGTTTGAACTGTATTGTTGGATCATGTTTCGACTGTTGCGGCTACTAACTTCTTGATTATTTTTTTTATAGGGTTCTTGACATCTCGGAAGTACGATTGAAGGTGTCAATGATTATGTCACCAACTCAACGACCAAAGGGTGTCCTTGGTTTTTGGGCATCCTTGATGACAGCACTGGGGAATATGGAAAATATGCCTGTAAGAAATGTTTCCTTAATCATTGTCTTTAGTTGGAGTCTCTTTCCATTGTAGGCTATCATAAGAGTTTCTTTCCATTGTAGGCTATCATAAGAGAGTGTAAAAAGGAAGGTGGGTGTTTGAATAAGTTTGATGAAGTAAGAGAGTGAGTGGAAAAATGTGAATATAGTGGGGTAAGGTGGTATTAACGGTTTCACAAATATAAATTGAAAGTGTTTGAAGTTTCTGAAAAAGACGAGAAGGAAAGTTTTGAGAAGTTTTAGAAACAGAGGTATTACATATAATTAAGGTGCAGAAGATTGGTCCACTAAAAAATTGTAAAGTCGTTAAGTTTGAGAACCACTTTGTAAGATAATCCTTATGGATTTGGCCACCTGGGTATTGATATTATTTTATTACACCTGTTGGATCAGCGTAGGGTTTGAATCTACATCATGACCCAGGTCTGATCAGACGCTACCAATTGATGTTCCTACAGCAGCCATGAACACACCACTTATTAAGCATGCCCTTACTCTTCTGTTTTGTGGTGGTGTTTGTTTCTCAATAACAATTTTGAAACTAAGATTGCGATCCTGATTGACACTTTGTCCTGTAATAATTAGGTGAGGATACACCAGAGGTTTGTGGAAAATGTTTCTATGCGACAAAGTGCTATTATCAGTAATGCTACCTCAAATATTCAGAAGGATCTGCTTAGTCAACCTCTTCAGCTGCTTTCTGGCGTTGATATACTTGGGAATGCAAGCAGTGCACTTGAACATATGAGTAAAGGTGCTGCGGCAATATCAATGGATAAGAAATTTATCCAGAGCAGACAAAACAAGGTTTTTTTGCTTATATCTAAACCTTTATATTTTCCTGGCAATTATGTTGCTTGGTATACACAGAATTCAGTTGATTTATTTCGCTGTTTTGTAATTCACTGCTGTAAAATCATGAGTAGGATTGACTTAGTTTCTAATATTCTAGTTGATTGGGAGAGCTGATGGACTGGGTAGTATTACAAATTGTTGCTGGAAAATAAACTAAGAATCTAGATTTTTTAATCTTGTGGAAGCCATGAAACCCCTTAATCATTGTCAATTTAAAATGCGATTCGAAGTAATAATTAACATAGTCTAATACTGAAGGTTCAATCTTTTCAGGAATTTCAACCTATTACTATTTATAAAGTTCCAATAGTCAGGTCTGACAAAGATGAGCTTTCATATGGAAACTTAGGCAGAGTGTTGATAATAATCAGGTTTAGGACTGATGGCTAAAATGTGAAGAAATCACTGTATATTTTCTTTTCTTTTATATCTATACGAAGCAGATGCATTGTATTTTTCCTTACATTCATTACCTAAAGCAACAGAATTGTGTTTTCCATAAGACGTCTTTGAGCTCATGAGTAGCAGATTGTCTTAATAATAAAATGAATGGTCAAGTTATATGTCCAGAAGCAATAGCCTCATTTTAATGTGTTTATTGCAGGAGAAAGTGGGAGACTTCGGTGATGTTGTCCGAGAGGGAGGTGGAGCACTAGCAAAAAGTGTATTTAGAGGAGTAACGGGAATGTTTACAAAGCCTATTGAGGGTGCAAAATCATCTGGTGTTGAGGGATTCGTTCAAGGTGTTGGAAAAGGAATAATAGGTGTTGCTGCGCAACCAGTGAGTGGTGTGCTGGATCTTATTGCAAAAACTACTGAGGGTGCCAATGCAATGAGAATGAAAATACAAGCTGCTTTAACTTCTGAAGTGCAACTTTTACGGAGGAGATTGCCACGTGTAGTAAGTGGTGATAACCTGCTTCGACCTTATGATGAGTATAAAGCACAAGGACAGGTAATTTGTGGTTCTGATTTGCATGTTATTATTGAATTAGAAGAGGATCGTCTTTATTGCTCCCTTTTTTTCAAAAACATGATATGAAGCTATATACTTTCTGTGTTTCTTATTGATGTTTCCACCCTTTTTTTGTTTTTATGGTATGTCCCATTTCCACTTCATTTTATTCCCCTTTTTCTTACATGGTTACACCTACCCACCTTTGGACCCCCCCCCCCCCCTCTTATTTTATCCACCTTTTTCTTACTCAACTCTCCTAGAAAATAGAGTCTACTGTATATGGGTACATCAAAAAAAATTGGAGGTTAAGCATTAATATTACATTAATAACACCAATTAATTCATGATTTTGTCACAAACTCAAATTAATGCCAGTTTGGAAAATACAGTATGAAGGAAAATAGTGTCATTTAACTTGATTCCTGAGCTCAAGCTACCAGACTGGCCTATTACCACCGAGTGTTACTTATAATAAGTTAAACAGGGTTGAAAGTTGTCAATTACCAACTTAAACAAAAATGAAATAAGCTAATAACTAACAATTGTCATTAAACTATAAGGTCTAAGTGAACGATGATAGGGAGAGGATCAAACACTAACCTTACATACTACAATATTAGGGCTGCCGTCTGTTCTCATTTAAAGTGGGGCTTCACTCCTACTTGGGCTTTCCTTCTAATTAGATGGGTTATCATACCAGTAAAAAGAAAACAAAACCTAGGTAAATTCAAGGTTTACAAGATGAAATATGAATGAAATAAAAGGAAATGTGAATAAAATGATTCAAAGGCGGTGTGAAAATATATAAAAGTAAAATAAAAATTAAAAAGGATGAAAATTTGTTAATCCACTAAATTCAAGTATATGAAAAGTGATTGTTTAAAAAAAAAAAAAAGTGTATGAAAAGTGAAAATAAGAAATTTTGAGGCTAGAAGCACTAAGATTAGAGAAAAATGATCCTAATTATGCTTAAAATAGCAGTTAGAACTTTACATATTATATTATAATTGTCGTTTTCCTGGCAAGATATGCACTACAAATAATGATAATCTTTCATGTAAGCCTAAATATAGATACCAAGGGCTGATTGAATTCACACTACGTCTATATTTTGTGTCATTATATTATTATGTTATAGCAATGTAAAACTCAATTGAACTCACCTTTTTTTTATGTTTTCATTATGAAGGTTATACTACAGCTGGCAGAATCAGGCTCTTTTCTTCGCCAGGTTGATTTGTTCAAAGTGCGTGGGAAGTTTGCTTTATCAGATGCCTATGAAGACCATTTTATGCTTCCTAAAGGAAAAATCTTTATAGTCACCCATCGTAGAGCTGTACTTCTGCAAGTAAGTGGGAATTATGCAAAATGGGGCAGTTGTTCATCCTGTTTGTATAATTTTACTGCAGGCATTACTTTTCAATACTAATCTTGCTAGTGTCCAAGACTCTGAATTATTGATTCTGCATTTTTTTTAAAAATTTCAGCAGCCCTTGAACATTAAATTCAGTGCAGCCAAAGATCCGTGTTCAATACTATGGGATGTTATATGGGATGACTTGGTAACTATGGAGTTGACTCATGGAAAGAAAGACCAACCCAATGCACCACCTTCACGCGTCATCCTATACCTTCAAACCAAGTCAATAGAGACCAAGGATCAATTTCGTAAAGTCAGATGCAACCGTGATTCTAACCAAGCTTTTAAGGTTTATGCTGCAATTGAGCAAGCAATGAGCACCTATGGACCTAATAAGTCGAAGGTGAGGATGAGTTCTGCCTATCAGTCATAATATTTTCAATTTTTTCTGCTTTTTCTTTGTCTTTATTTTTTGGGTCAGAGGTCTCCTTATTATTGGAGGACATAAATGCTTTAACTGCTTACTGTAAGAAATGAATTATTACATCAAGGTTTGGCCATCTAGGGGTGGGGGTTGAAAATTTTGTGTCATTGGATGCAATCATGATAGTATTGGAATAATGGGAAAGGAAAATCAATGCCTGATTCTTTCTGTGTGGTTAACCTTAATGGTTTGTCAGTTTGTGTATGTGTCTATGTGAAGAGATGAAGCTCCTCAGAATGTTTTCTTGTCTGAGTGAAACTCTTTGGTATTTATGAGTGAAAAGAATTGTTGTTCTAGCTATATTTGAATGCTTCTTGTTCGAGTTGAGGCACTTTTGGAAGCAAAGATTTCATAATCGAGATCCTGCCTGAGATTGTAAGGTTCCCCTCAGGATCAGATATAAGGGACTGTTTGCTTTTTTTATAAACGGAGTAACTACCCAAAATAATCTGAATAATTTGTGACAATGATTATTGGATAGGTAATCAGTTCTTATTTGATATTCTGAACTCTGAAAAGCCATTTATCTTTCTGTGTGACATCTTCAGCAGTTTAAAATATGAATACCCCAAAATGCCCAAATTGGAAATTATGTGAATCTACTGGAATATTTTTTTTTTTTTCGTGCGTTAGAGATGTTGCAAGAAAATCTTTGTAATGATTCTGCTTAAACTCTTCAGTGTTTAAAGTATTCCCCTTCTGCTGGAGCAAGTAGCAACTCCCCAGATAAGGTATAATTAGTTGGTACTTTTAATTAAGGTAGTTTGGTTTGTGTAGAAGTGCAGGACACAGACTCCCTTCTATATGTTGATATCCCTTTTATATGTTCCTATCCCTTTTATATGTTCCTATCCCTTTTATATGCTGCTATTTCTTTTATTGGCGTCTTTCTTGCTGCTGCTTCCCTTAACAGTACTTGCATATGCACTGTTTTGTAATTTTATTTTATTTATTTTTTGCTTTTTTTTTTTTTTTTTTTTTTTTTTTTGTTGTCTCATTACATAGCTGTAGACTGTTGGAGTGTCAATCATATATTATATAATGCTTCATATGTTTTCAAATGTTATTCAGGGACCCCTCAAAAAGGTTACAAGACCTTATTCCCCAAAGGCTGATCACGCAAATGGAGATTCAGTGCCCAAGGAAGGGGTTAGTGTGTGGTCTACAGGACAATTCCCAGCATCAGTTCCTACAAGGTCATTATTTGGAAGTAGCCCTGGCTAGAGCGAAGTTATTCCAACTGTCATGGAGCTTGATTAATCCAGCCTCCCAAACATACACCATCAGTATGTAAAATCATGTTGGAGTTCTCCAATTCTGGCACGCTTTGTACATGCACTTTCTATCCAAAAGGGTAATGGTAAAAATCTTATACTGTCTGATGATTTTGTTGATCTCATCTGTTTGCAAGGTTTTGAGCTCACAAAGCCAATCTTTGTGAGTTGTGATTACTAATTGAGCTGAGTAAATCTGGATGGTTTGTTTTAGGCAAATATGCATAGATATCATTTATCTTAGAAATTGGACGTGGGCATATTTTATACTACGTATTATTTTCTGTTTGGCTTGATCTCTCCCAAACCGTCTTATACAGGTTATCAACTCCTAAAGCTCTTTTTGTCAAAAAAAATTAAAATAAAAAAAATCACTATAGCTCTTGTATATCCTGATAAGGTCAAGTTTTTAACCCAAATTTTCATCATTTCTTCCCAGGTATAGAGGAAATACAGCTACAGCAGTCTTCATGTGATGTTAAGCTTCCTGACTTCCTCAGGGGGGAGATTTATTTGACCCCTTCCTGAAACAGCAAGGCGTTTGTACATAAAATTATGAGTTCATTACTTGTACAGTTGTACATGATTTGCTGCAGATGTTTCTGCTATAGGTTATATTGAGCTCTAGAGCCTTCTTTTTTTTCTTTTTTCCTTTTATACATCCATAGTACAACCATGTATGTAAATTCACTTGAACAGTCAATGTGATTATTCATACTGGCTTTTTTGCTTAATGAGCTAATGAGCCCATTTATACCTAACTGAAGTAGTTGAAAATAAGTAAATTTTGTTCTGATCAAGCTTGAGCGCGAATTTTCTCATTTGCTGAGTTCATTGAGACATGATTTTATTTGTGAAAACCCTTCTTTTTAGCTAGTGGTGAAGGTAGTTAAGCTGTTGTGAAAGCACTCTCGTATAATCTGTACAACTTGTATTTATTCCCAGCAAGGGCGAGTTTAACAATTAAGACCCTAAAGGAAGGAATTTAACAAAAATATCTATCAAATGGCAAAATGGTAAATAAAACAACATATATGTCCAATCATCATGGCATTTATAAACTTGTTTAATAAACGAGCTGTTCACGAACCATTCGCGAATATATAGTGTACTAAATGAGCTGAGCTTGAATAGATTTTTGAGCTTGCTTGAAAGCTCGGGATCGTGTTCGGATTCGCCTAATTTAAATGAACTTGAACATGAACAAGGTGGGACTCATATTTAATACAAAGCTAGGTTAGTCCCGTGCGATGCACGGTTTTAGCAATAAAATATTTGACCATATATATTACTCCGTAGAAGACATGATGCTATATATTCTAATTAAATTCATAATTAAAATAAAATTAAAAAATAATAGCACTAGTGTTTAGTGGTTAATATATGAGGAAAGAAGGAAAAATTATAGAGCTACCATCAATTACGTAGTAATTTTTTTCTCTATAAGAAAATTGTGTTGTTAGTCAATTTAGTAAAAAAATAATAATAAGTTTTTATGAAAATGTGTAATTAATTTAGGTTATCCAAACATTAGCTTTATCTTGAAAGGGAAAAAAAATAAATAAATAAAATAAAAAAGAGCTTAAAAAGGATGATGTCACTTGTAGTTTTTGCGGGAATTTTTTTAATAAAAAGCTCACACATAGGCAGTGATAATGTCAGCGGTTTCTATTTTAGTTATAGATAGATTGTTGATTTATTTACAAATTTGTCGTTTGTTTATCAAATTGATTAACTAGTATTTTCTAGTTTTTCAGGTTGCCCTTTGTTCTCATACGATAAAAATACTATTACTATGATAAAAACTAGACGGCCAAATAAAATTTTAGGAAAAATTGCACGCAATAATCCGACCTTTAGAGCATCCGCTAAAAATTATCCCACCTTCGGATTATTTTTAAATAATTCGACCTTTGATATCAATTCGCTCAAAATGGTCCCCGGTCATGTAACTTGTCATAACAAGTTAATTTAAGAAAACCACCACACCAGCCAAAAAAACCCCTTCCCCGGCACTTTACTCCCCATCCTCGCGACTCCGGCCACCTAATTCCTCAACCCAGCGTCGATGTCCGGTGCCGCTTGACACTCCTCCCCGAACCACCAACACCCTCCCTAGAAAACCCAATCTCCACTTCATTCGGGATACTCCGATGAACAATTATTATCCCTCACCCTCGATTTTGGAAACCATGTCCCGATTCCGACATCTTTAAGTCCCCTTGTCCTGATTCCGGCTTCTCATTCGTTTCTCCGTTCCAAATTTGGCCTCCCTCCTCTTCTCCTGTACTGACTCCGACCCCCTCCCCTTCTGCTGCCCTAATTTCGGCTTCTGTTAACTTCCCCCGCCCTAATTTCGGCTTCCCCCACCTCGATTTCGCCGCGCAGACCACCGATAGTAGCGACGATGATGACACATCCTGTATCGTGAGACGATGGGTGAATGTAATTCAATGGATATTGGTGGCTGGGGCTTGGGAATAGGTGGATCGGATGTGGCTGCCGGATTTTTTTTTTTTTTAATTGTTAAATTCAATCTATTTTAATTTAATAATATTAGAAAAATTACACAGTGACACATGTACTTTAAACCAAAAAAAATACATGTTTAACAAGTAACCGGTCACTTGGGATCAACATGAGCAGATTGAGTATAAAGGTCGGAGTATTTAAAATTAATCCAAAGGTGGAATTATTTCTAGCGGACTCCCCAAAGGTCGGATTATTTCGGGCAAATTAGGGTAAATTTTAAGGTCTATTAGGGTAAATTTTAAGGTCTATTAGGGTAAAATTTTCAGGGTCAAAGAACAAGTTCCTGCAATCCTGCCTTCCAGAGTTCCAGGCATTGAAATTTTCGGGCGTCAATTTTTTATTGGTCAAATTGTTAAAAAAAGAAAATTAAAAATAAAGCTTTTCTCCTCTTCCGATAAACTGATCTCTTTCCCCGCCTGCTTAATCCTCCCATGGCTTACTAGCCACCTTTCCCTTCCTCCTTTAGAGAACTCCAACGCTGCCCCACAATAATTAACAACCACCACCAAACTACCTCGTCTCACCGTCAACAACAAACCACAACAACAACATATTTTCTTGCCCAACCCATTACTCTTACGCTAGAGCTGTTAATTCGGGTAAACGGGTCAGGTTTGGGTCGAGTCAATTCAAATTAATCCCATAACCTATGTGAATCATATTGGGTTGGGTCATGCTTGAGTCGGGTCACGTCGGGTCATACTTATTAACGAGTTTGGGTCAGGTTTAGGTCAGGTTACTCATAGGTCGGTTGAACAATAGGTCGGGTTTAATTCGGGTTTCACGGGTTAAGGTAATTCTAGGGATTGAGTCGTCTTAGGGGATACATCTCGAAGTCATATAATGTTGTTTGGAACCATATATGATCATTATTTGTTGTCATAAATGTTCGTGGTAGGCTTGAATTAATAAAATCGCTGCAAGTTGTAAACCGGTAAATTGGTCGTTTAAAGGCAAATTGGATGGTTCCACCCACCCAATGGGACTCCCGGACGTTGTTAGGGATCATGGTAACCATTTCGGCAATTTTTATTTTCGGGCGAAAAAAAGTCAAAATTTTAAAAATTGAGGATAATATCCACGCTTTTTGAGAAATTTTGGAGGATTTGGGGCCCGGTGTCGAAAAGTCTTGAAATTATAGGGGGATACATCTTGGGGTCATTTAATGTCAATTGGAACCATATATGATCATTATTTGTTGTCATGAATGTTCATGGTAGACTTGAGTTATTGAAATCGATTCAAGTTATAAGCCAGTAAATAGATCGTTTAAATGCAAATTTTATGGTTCCACCCAACTAATTGGACTCCCAAAAGGTATTAGGGACCATGATAAACATTTTGGCAATAATTATTTTTGGGCCAAAAAAAGTCTAAAAATTCCAAAATCAAAGGCTAATATCCACGTTTTTTGAGAAATTTTGGAAATTACAGGGCCCGGTAGCGAAAAGCCTTGAGATTCTAGGGAATACATCTCGGGGTCATATAATGTCATTTGGAACCATAAATGATCACTATTTGTTGTCAAAAATGTTCGTGGTAGGCTTGAATTAATGAAGACGATGCAAGTTGTAAACCGGTAAATTGGCCGTTTAAAGGCAAATTGGATGGTTCCACCCATCCAATTGCACTCCTTGAGGATATTAGGGACCATGGTAAAGATTTTAGCAAATTTTTAATTCCGAGCGAAAAAAAATTCAAAAATTTCCAAAATTAAAGGCTAATGTCCACGCTTTTAAAGAAATTTTGGAGGCTTCGACATTTCGGGGCCCGATGACGCGAAGTCTTGAAAATTTAAGGATACATCTCGGAGTCATATAATACCGTCTGATCATTATATGTTGTCAAAAATGTTCTTGGTTTGCTTGAATTAATGAAATCAGTGCAACTTGTAAATTAGTAAATTGGTTATCAAGGCAAATTGGATGGTTCCACCCAACCAATTGGACTCCCAGAGGGTATTAGAGCCATGGTAAACATTACATCAATTTTTATTTTCTGGCAAAGAAAAGTAAAAAAAAAATCCTAAATTGAAGGCTAATATCCAAGCTTTTTGAGAATTTTTGGAGTCTTCGGACCCGGTTTCAAAAATTCTTGAAATTCAAAGGAATACATCTCATGGTCATATAATGCCGTTTGAAACCATATATGATCGTTATATGTTGTCATAAATGTTCGTGGTAGGCTTGAATTAATGACATCAGTGCAACTTGTAAATTGGTCGTTTAAAGGCAAATTGGATGGTTCCACCCACCCAATTAGACCCCCGGAGGGTATTAGGGAAAATGGTAAACATTTTGGCAATTTTTATTTTCGAGCGAAAAAAATGACAAAAAATTACAAATTTGAAGGCTAATATCCAAGCTTTTTGAAAATTTTTGGAGGTTTCAGGGCCCCTGTGTAAAAAAGTCTTAAAATTCTATATGATACATCTCGTGGTCATATAATGTCATTTGGAACAAAATATGATCATTTTTTGTTGTCATAAATGTTGGTGGTTTCCTTGAATTAATGAAATCGGTGCAAGTTGTAAACAGGTAAATTGGTCGTTTAAAGGAAAATTGGATGGTTCCACCCAGCCAATTGGACTCCCGGAGGGTATCTGGGACCATGGTAAACATTTCGGCAATTTTTATTTCCGGGCGAAAAAAAGTAAAAAAATTCCAAAATTCCAAAAAAGTAAAAAAAGTAAAAAAAAGTAAAAAGCAATTTTTATCCACGCTTTTTGAGAAATTTTGTTGGTTTTGGGGCCCGGTGTCGAAAATGCTTAAAATTTTATGGGATACATCTCGGGGTCATATAATGTCGTTTGGAAGCATATATGATCATTATTTGTTGTCATAAATGTTCGTGGTTGGCTTGAATTAATGAAATCGGTGCAAGTTGTAAAACGGTAAATTGGTTGTTTAAATGAAAATTGGATGGTTCCACCCAACCAATTAGACTCCTTGAGGGTATCAGGGGCCATGGTAAACATTTCGGCAATTTTTATTTCTAGGAGAAATAAAGTCAAAAAAATTCCAAAATTGAAGGTTATTATCTACGCTTTTTGAGAAATTTTGGAGGTTTCGGGGCCCGGTGTCGAAAAGTCTTAAAATTCTATGGGATATATCTCGGGGTTAGATAATGCCGTTTGGAACCATATATGATCATTATTTGTTGTCATAAATGTTCGTGGTAGGCTTGAATTAATGAAATCGGTGTAAGTTTTAAATCGGTAAATTAGTCGTTTAAAGGCAAATTGGATGGTTCCACCAACCCAATTGGACTCCCGGAGGCTATTAGGGACCATGTTAAACATTTCGGCA